AGATGTTAAGAATTATGTATCAAGATCGCAGAGACGGCGAGAGGTCTGCGATTTAACACGCGATATATTTGATTTCCCCCCATTCCATTATAAACAAATTGATATCTCTAACTCCTCGCGTTTCTGTGATCCTGATAACAATTACAGACCAACACGATTCAAAGGTTTTGCAAAAGAAGCTTGTCGGAATCGTGCGGCAGTGGGTACTGAAAATTCTGTATCAGGATCGCAGAAACAGCGAGAGGTGTTTAATCCAGTACGCGCAACATTTGAACCTCTAGCCATTTTGTTAATAGCAAGCTGTTTTCCATACCTCCTTATAGAATTCCGAATGAGCTTCATTCAACGTTCAGCGAAGTTTGGCTAATGCTTACGACAGCGATAGTGATCTAATTTAACACTGATATATTTAGATTTTTCGTCCAATTAGGAGCAGTTGTTCTTCATACCCCAAGCGCTTATACGGTCCATACATCAACTCAATTCGAAGTTTATGTAATAAATCCAACATCTCAAAAAAGCAACATTTTAATCAAATCATTTTTTTTATTTTACACTAATAAGTCATACATATTAAATAACACAGCTAAGTTTTTATGAATACACAGGATGAGCCAAAATTATATCTGATATGACAGTAAGTTACCCTAAACTTGTAGTAACTATAGCGTCGACAATACAACGAATTAATATGCATCAGAAGTGGATTAGAAGATAGGTGATGTACAGTGCATATTCTTCATTTTCAAAGCCAGAATAAAATACAACTTACAACAGTTTAATCATCAGAAAGCATTAAACTTTGGCCCAACTTGTGAATTATACATATGTCACATCATATTCCATTCTTTTTTAAGATAATAGTTAACGACAGTATCGGAATTGTTATAAGAGGAAAAATTATACATCCTGGGGCCTGATTCTAACTGAATTTCGACCCTTGAAATAATTTCGATACTGCCTCACAAATATGAACCCACCGTAATAATTTTTAGACATGACTTCTAATTTCGAAATTATTAGGGCAGTGTCAAAATTATCATGCGGCAAGGGTTTATCAAAATCTACTTCAATGGTCGAAATTTAGGTGGAATCATACATATTAGAAGCGCCACTAAAGAAAATCAAACAATAGAATTGATACATCTGACTTCAGTGCAATATCTTTGAAATATATTTTACTGTAACAGTGGAAAGCCACGTGCAATAGTATCGTTGACCCCATAGTGTATAAGTCATAATTAAGTAAAAAAGAGTAAAGCGACGAATTTAATATACAACATACAATAAATATATATGTTGTCAATATTTTCACACCTAAATCTATATTAAGCACATATATTTTGATGATACAATAACTTGAATGATACAGATATGAACATTTTTAAGCATATAGAAAATTTACAATATAAAAATGGCAATTCAACTTCACAATATCTCAGCACCACTCCTTGAAAAAGATACAGTCTTTGTAAATCATTATTTCGATCATCTATCTCAAACCCAAATTACACATATACAGGGTGAGTCTTTAGTTGGGGGAACGGTCGATAACTCTATTGCTGCACATAATATCTAAAAATTTAAAAATTACAAAAATTGTAGCTCCTGTATGCTCCTAACATGGAAAATATTTTTATCTCTACAAAGTGATTCACAATTATATTTCATTGCAGATTAGGATAAGTCTTTGCAGATGAAGCAATTTGATGTAACATACTATATGGTTCTATTTCCAAATTGTTGAAATGTTCGACAATCAATCGAATAAAAGGCCCAACTGTTTTAGCTAGAGAATTGAACTTTTCATTAAAAAAATGTTATGATGCCATATTATATCCCCATATTTGTTGAACCGAGTCGTCAAGAAAGCAAAAAACGATTTCTAAAATATTTCAACTGCAACACCCTGTGCATTTTCATATTCCTTGATTCCCCTCTGCACAAGGTTTTTTAAAAAAGCTTTTTATGGTTTTGTATGATCGGTTTTTGGGTTACAGCTAACCTGTTTGTAAATCTATCAAGACTCATGCAAAAAAGTCGAAACCTCAAAAGGTGTCCCTATGCTTTTAGCAACTCAAAAGTCTTTTTTTGTAGTCCAATATCTCAACAATACGAAAATAAAAATATATGTTATACCAAATAGCATCGGTTGAAAGAACCTATCCAAATCTGCAATGAAATGTAGGGATATCCATTCAAAAAAATGTACCATATGTTTAAATCACCACGGATTGCCCTGTAGGGACAATTTTTGTATTTAAACAAAGCATAATAACACCAAAAACTCATCCTGTATATGAGGTAATCCAAACCACATGGTCCAATATGGACACTGATCAAATACAATACAATACAATACAGCTGCTGTAATGTATATAAAGGTACGCGCCCATAGGTCCGCATTGTACGCACTTTTTTAATGATATTGTAATGGATTTAAATTAAAACTCTTAACTAAGGTGCCTTCGGGCAAAGAGGCCGGGCAGGTAATGGCCAAAGTTATCCCAAGGGATATTTTATTACTCCGTGGCCCTAGTAGCGCCATCTGGCTGTAGACTGAAACACAAAACAGTTGGCGCTATGCGAGTTAGATTACATTCCGCCATTTAACTGAATGCACGTTTTGAAGAATTTGGAAGGATTTCCGTGCCCGTGTTCTAAGAAAAACCTGCAAAAGGTGAGTATTATTTTTAGTTAGTTTGATTAGAGTATTGTTTGCATTAAATTTTCGAAATTCTGTTGGCTTATAGAATAATTTAACATAGTTGTTTCGCGTTATTTACAATTTTTTGTCACATCTAACCTCAAAAAGAAAATGTGTGTCAGACTTGTAACAAGGCCGCGGCCTTATTACCTGCCATACCATTAAATTTAGTTGCAGATAATAAAGCCGGCTACAAAATAATGTGTATTTTCAGATATATCTCAATTGAGGAGTGACTGTGTAAAAGTCGATAAATCCATTTTGCAATAATTTTGAGTTGACCATTAATATCTCTTTGGAAAAAAGTTCCTCATCGTTTGAAAACACCAAAACTTAACAAAGTGAGATATATCCAATTGAAATTCATACCCTTAAATCCATTGACCATGCGAAATCCAGTAAATCCAAATCCAGATTGAGCAAAAGTCGATATTTCCATTTTACAGCTAAAGCAAATCCGATTATCCCGATTATAGAAAATTGCTTTTTAAAATTCTGAAATTTGGTTTGCCATTAAGAGATGTCACCATAAGTCGTTAATAATAATTAGATATTATATTGCATCATTCTGTCAGTTCACTGCCATTCTCGTTACTTGATGTCCTACTGTGCAGCCGATATGAGTGATTTAGAGGTTGATATTACTGTAAAAGCGGGAAATAGTGGATCAAGAGCATCGACATATCAAAGGTTATGGACCTGCCGTTCGCGTTTGGAATTGACGCCGGCGCAGTGCAAGAGAGACAGCACGTGAAGGATAGAGCTAACGCGGGCAAACGTCGTACGTTAGATCTGTATTGTGCATGTGTTTCTTTCACTGTGGAAAGCTTTACTCATATTTTTGCCTTGAAATTAGTTTTAATTGTTGATTTTTCACAACTTCAAACCAATTACAAGATGGTGCAGTCTTGTTGTGCTATAAACTGTACGACCAGAAGAGAAAAAGGGGTACACCGGGGTTTAGTGCAGAAGCAATACGGGCTGTCAAAATGAAAGTTGACATTGAAAAAGGAAAAGGAAAGCAACTTATAGCAGGTCTTGTGATTGACGAGATGTCCATTCGTGAGCATGTACATTGGACTGGTAGTAGGAATGTTGGATACATTGATTATGGAACTGGTATGCAGAATAGTGACCAATTACCACATGCAAAACATGTATTTGTGATAATGCTTGTAGGTTACAATACAAGGTGGAAGGTTCCCATTGCCTATTTTTTAGTAGATGCTTTATCTGCTGAAGAAAAGGCAATGTTAATTAAAGGGTCTTTCCTTCAGTTGGAAACAACTGGGGTGCTGATTAAAAGTATCACATTTGATGGGTGTGCATCCAACATTTCGATGGCAAATTTGCTGGGAGCAAAGCTCAGTTTTCCTGGAATGAAACCATATTTCATAAACCCAGTGAATAAGGAAAAAGTACATATCATTTTGGACGCATGCCACATGATTAAATTAGTACGTAATACTTTGGGTGATTGGGGCATATTATGTGATGGAAATGGAGACTCCATTAAATGGTATTATTTTAAAGAACTGGTGAAGCTGCAAGAGGAATCAGGGCTTCATTGTGCCACTAGACTAAGGTCTCGACATATTAACTATTACAAAGAAAAAATGAAAGTGAAGCTTGCTGTCCAGACCTTTAGTGCTAGTGTTGGTGATGCCCTAGAATACTGTAATCAGGACTTGAATATTACAAAATTTAGAGGTAGCGAAGCAACTGTTTCTTTCTGTCGAAAAATTAACAATATTTTTGACGTTTTAAATGTTAGAAATTTCTATGGGAAAACTCCTTGTAAAAGGCCTCTTTTCAAGGGAAACAGCGAAACCTTCAAAAATTTTATCAAAGAATCTGTAGAATATTTAAGTTCATTGATAGATCAAAAGCACGATAAAGTAATAGAAACAGGCAGGAAAACTGGTTTTCTAGGACTCATTGTTTGTTTGTTAAGTGTTAGGAATTTATTTGAAGATGTGGTTGAGGGTGATAAGTTACAGTTTTTATTAACTTATAAGCTAAGTCAAGATCATCTTGAAATGTTTTTTTCAGCAATCCGTTCAAGGGGAGGCTTTTCGAACAACCCGACTGCCTGGCATTTCGAAAATGCATATAAAAGACTCTTAATTCATAGTGAAATAACTACCTCAGATAGTGCAAATTTTCTGGCACAGGACAATACCTCGATTTTAAATGTTACCATTGAAAGCAAAAATAACTCAATTTTTACTACTGACTTATTATATGAACAGACAGAATCTTCAGATGCGGAAGATGAGTTATTCATTAAAAACTATAACACAATTGCCAACTGCACATATATTTGTGACATTGTTGAGTATATTGCTGGGTTTATCAGCAAGAAATTAGTTAAAGCATTAAATTGTAATGAATGTGCTAATGCTTTAACTTCGGACAATTCTTTGTCGCTGCTTTTAAATAAAAAAAATCGAGGAGGTCTCTGTAAGCCATCCAGAGATGTTGTGAAAGTGTGCATATGTGCAGAAGGCTTAATCAAATCAGAATCAAACTTTTCTGCTCTAAACCTTATGCTAAAATTGATATCTTTGTCGATAAGGAAACTCAATTTCGACACACTATTCGTTGGCTTGAAAAGTCATTTCCAGGATCAGGATCCATTACAGAGCCATTGCCTGCAATTAATTAGGCTTATATTAAAAAATTACTTTTCAATTAGAATACACCACATCAACACTACAAAAAATGAACCGCGCTATAGAATAAGGCAACATCTGACCAAAACTATCACCTTTAGCCATCAATAATTCTTTTTTTTTATATAGAATAACTTTTTGTAATATCAATAATTATCATTAAGAATTTTTCATACTGTATTCTGTAGATTAAGGTTTTTGTTTTGTAAGTACGTGAATAAAAATTAATATTATATATATTATCGTTTTTTTTATCGAGTAGAAGTATAAAAATCCCATTCCCTTTGCCTAAATCTATTTTTATAAAGATATCATAACTTTAAAACCATCCAAATCCTGTTAAGCGCGCGGCTTTTTGCCCGCGTTAGTTCCGTCTCTCTCTCGGATGTTTCTTTCTAACGTTGGCTGCAAGCAGCTGTACGTACAAGAATAGGTACGGGCGGGTCCATAACCTTTAACATGTCAATGATCAAGAGTCAAAAAAACTAAGATATCTAAAAGGCACGTAGAAAAACAAAGAAGGTAAGAAAATGATACATTGATAATTTTTTTTAGACCAACCAATAATATTTTATCAACTTTCCAGGTACGAAGATAAAGACCCTGATTTAAAGAACTTTAATAGGACGTGCAATCACAATGGCAAAACTTTCGGATGCATCAAAGTGAAGTTGAATGATATAAAACAAATTAGAAGACACCTCTATGCAACAACGGATAAATCGGAACAGGATATTAAAATAAGCTATAAAATAACCCTTGAACCGGTTGAGAGGAAACGTAGTTTGACGGCAGTCCCAAAATATCGTAAGTTTAGTACCATGTACTACTTAAAATCAGTACAGTCCAAACGCCCTCATTATAATCGTGCAAAATCCAAAAGGATTTACCTGCCAGCGCATCTTAGCATAAATAAGTTGCATAAGATATATAATTCACAGAGTATTGAGCCAGGAGATCGTTGCAGTCATTCCATGTTTGGACTTATTTTTAGAACCAAATTTAATATTGGATTTTCTTCGCCAGCATCAGACTCTTGTGCACTTTGTAATAGACTAAAGCATAAAATCAAAATAGAGAAGTATATCAAGAAAAAAGGCGATTTAATGATAGAACTACGCGTTCACAAAAAACGGGCCAACACTTTCTATGAATTGATGAGACAATACGTACCAGAGTCCTTATCGTTTTGTTTTGATATATGCAGCAAGTTCAACCCTTGCCACGAACCCCTATTAACGACGCCTTTTACGCTCAACAAATAAGTTTCTATGTTCTCAGCTGTGTTTATTTACAATCAAAAAGTCCAACGTTTTATACCTGGACTGAAGACTTGGCTGGAAGGGGCTCAACAGAAATTTCATATGCTCTTTTTGCACACCTGAATAGTCTAAATTTAAATCATATAAGAGTTCTTAGGCTTTTTTGCGATGGCTGCGGAGGTCAAAATAAAAATTCCCATGTGGTACACACCTTATACTATTGGCTAAGACATCATTCGCCCGGAGAATTGATAGAAATTCGCCTGACATTTCCTGTGAGAGGGCATAATTTTTTGCCAGCAGACAGAGTATTTGGAAGGGTAGAGAAAGAACTGAGGAAACACCCTACTATTAAGAAGAAGGAAGGATATGAACAACTATATTCTGAGTTTGGATTTGTTTTAAAGAAAGTTGACTCTATTTCTGATATGAAAAGGATAGTTCTGCGTAAAAATCCGTCAAAGTATTATTTCTGTGACATGCTTCCAAAATTTTAGATACGAATGTACTTCTGAAGTGCCAAAAAATTTACTAAAAAATCTTTAAGAAATTTGCTACTACAGGAATTTGGAGAGGGATGGGAAAATGATGAAGACCTAAGTTGGTATAAGTATATACTATTATCTCAGAACGAAACAGTACTGGAAGAAGAGGAGCAAGAAGAGATTGCTTAGAAGAAGACATCGGACTTCATATTTAGAATTTTTGTTCTTACTTTTGTATTTGCCGTTCTATTGTTTTAATGTCGAAAACAGTTTTTATTTAACTTAAACCGCTTAAATAATGTTTAACTGAAAAATAAATTATAATTAGAATATTTTGGGCAAAACTCGATAAATCCAATTCCTGTTGAACAAAAGTCGATAAATCCAAATTTGAAATATAAATATAAACAATAACTTTTCAATATTGTTATTATAATGTCAGAAAATAATCAAAAGAATCCAATAAAATACAGAATAAATAAATATCTGAGACAGCTTTAATATTTTTCTCAATGCTGGTTTTTCAATGATTTCTCAAAACAAGATATTATGGATTTATCGACTTTTGCATAGTCACTCCTCAATTGTTTTCGCTGGCATTATAAACATTTTTTCTAGAAAAATTTCAAACTCTATATCAATGCAATAAACACCCGACCTTATTGCCTGGCTAGATGGTTACCTTTAAGTTTCTAGCCAGGTAATAAGGCCTGCTACAAGATAGCCTAAAAGTTGTTTTCTCATGTAGGATTCCTGCGGGAGCCTTAGAAAATAGAATTTTATACCGACGTTTTAGCAACAATCACAGCGCAGAGCAGTTTTTTGACTAAGTATTATAGCATGTTATATGATGTTCCGGTCATATTATCTGTCTCCTACATACGCATTAGAAAATACTTTTTTATTTTTCAGTTACGGAGAAAAAATTGGACCGAAGAAATGATGGAGAGAGGCCCTTGAGCTATTAAGGAGTTGTCGGTCTCAAAAATGGGTGGAACAGCACCCCGGGGATTTCGCGTCGGATCTTAAGAAATCACCTTAAATCCGGTTCCTCAAAAAGATCATTGAAAGCAAAATCAATATTAAATAGCGATCAAGAAGCGGACTTAGAATAGGGAATTATAAGATTTTCTCACAGAGGATTTCCTTTAACTTCAAAGGTTTTACGCCGCACTGTTTTCAATTTTTGTGAGAAGATGGGTGTTAAACATATGTTTAACAGGGATATATAAACAATTGGCGGGTAAAGAATGGTACCGTGCCTTTCTAAGACGTCATCCTCGAATAGCTCAACGCAAAGCACAGCAATTAAATCCTGTCCATGCTCAGAAGTTGAATCATTTCATTGTTAATGATTATTTTAATAAATTAGATGCTCCGTTATATAGAACCGGAATAAGATATAGCCCCGAAAACATTTACAACATGGATGAGAAGGGTTGCAGATTAACTCTTTATCAGCAGCAGCTAGTACTAGCCCAAAAAGGTGCAAAAAGAGTGCACTTAGTGGCGTCTGAACATGCGAAAAACGTCACAGTAGTCGCTTGTGCAAATGCACTAGGTCATGTCATACCACTCATGATTTTATTCAAAGGACAACATGGAAAATCTTGCTATTCTGATGGCTCACCAGCAGGCTCAGCTGTACATATGACAGCAAAGGGCAGCATGACGACTGAGATATTCATCAAATGGTTGGAGCACTTTTCAAAATTCATGTCTCCAATAATTTTTATTTTTGATGGAGCGTCAAGTCACCTAGATGAGTAGATTGCTGAAAAGGCGGAAACTTTAGGAATTGAGCTTTGATGCCTACCCAGCAATACTCATGAGCGCCAGCCAATGGACAACTCCATTTTCCGGTCCTTTGAATCCCACTGGGATCAACAACTTTTTGAATATTGGAGTGAACATCCTGATAGAAGGTTGGATAAAGAAACATTTTCTGATGTATTCATGCCAGTCTGAGGACAGTGCATGACCATTAATAAAATGTGCAATGGTTTTAGATCAACTGGTATCTACCCATTCAACAGAAATGGAATTCCTGAACATTCATTCGCCCAAAGTCTTCCAACTCATCGCGACCAAAATATTGCAGCTGGAAATAATAAAGTGCCATATTGATGGAAGAACATTGGGATTCAGAAGATGATATTCCATTGGCAACATTACTTAAGACAACTACAGATAATCCAACAGCACAATGCAGCACCAGCTCTGCAGATCATACTCCAACGCCAGATTTAGCTAAAAAAGGAGAAACTTCGCATCAAAACTCTTTCTCTGAAGTTTTAGTTACACCTGATATGTAACCAATAAAAGCCTAGAATCGGAAAAAGACTTTGAATCATCGTGCTCAAGAGGTCAAATGGCAGATATTTAAGGATCGTACTTCTGAAAAAAAAGGATACCAATACCTCAAAAAAGGGTTCGGTTGTGAAGAAGTCCGCCAGCCTTTCAGCTGCTGATGAAGTATGGATGTGTTCTTTTTGCCTCCTTGACTAAGTAGCTGCTATAAGAGCACGTTCATCGTGTGGTACTTGGGTTCACGAAGAATGCGTTGGGCTAACAGCAGGCTTTATTCCCACTGATCCAAAAAATCTCACCAGTAATATAGTCCAGAATATGGATATGGATTCAATAACAGATCATCCATACGTTGCAGATGAGACAACTGTATCGTCAGAAACAAGTAATATTTCTGACTTGCCAAATAGGCCTATAGAAGAAACGGGTAATATACATTCTAAGGCATTTGAGGTACATGAAAGACACGAGAATGGGCAGGAAATAGAAAGATGTAAATCACCAGAAGATGAGGCAATTGACGGAGAAGATACCCCATTTGAAAGTAACCTGAAAACAGCGCCAGAGGAAGAGAATACGGAAATCATGGACAGTCCCAATATGTAGATCACTGGAATAAGAGTAAGGAAAAGATCAAGGGGTAAAATTCTCTAAATGCCTGAGAGCAGAAAGTTAATCAGAGGAAGAGAGAACAGGGGGTACAGTATAAGGGCAAGAGGACACAAACAGAAGGTTGGACATATGATCGACCGAGCCCTAGTCGTTTTTTAGCTGACCCATGTCACTGCAATAGGAGAAAGAACAGAACAAACTTGAAATGTAGCGGGATTTCAAAAGCGTCACTGTACAGATTTTATGTCGAACTACTGCATAGAGAATCAGGTAGAACCAGTGTCACAGGCAAAGTTTGATAGAACATTTGAATAACTGAGCCTTTCGCTTTTGCGTTCAAAAAAAGATGAGTGTGATATTTGTGTCGGTTAACGCACATCTAATGTTAACGAGATCGACTATAAACTTCACCAAGAATTTAAAGAAGCTAGTGCGAAAAGGCAGCAGATAAGCTATCCAGCGATGCAGTAGTGTTCACTGTAGGTCTACAACCTGTTCTGCTGAGCCCAAAGACCAATGTGTCAAATATATACAAGACTAAACTTATCGTATATAACTACACAATTTACAACTTATTGGCTTATTGCTATCTGTGGAATGAGGCTGAAGGGCAGCTGACCTCAAACGAATTCTCTTCAATTCTTGTATATGTCCTTCAAACATAGGCTATTCCAAAATTAGATCCGTCTAAAAAGATCATCATATACAGTGATCTTTGCACAGGTCAGAACCCTAACGCAACTCTAAGCACTGCACTCCTGCACGTTACTACATTGCACAAAGCGGTGATTATACAAAAATATCTTTTGAAAAGTCACACTCAGATGGAGGTAGACTGTTCATTCAGCTATAGAAAGAATAGTGAAAAATAGATTATGTTGAGGTATGTAGAATAGAAACAATCCGTTTCCATATAATGTTGAGTATTTGACGAATTATTTTTTTTAATATTGAAATATGAAGATGGATCAAATCAATACAAATTACGATATACGGAAAAACTGGAGTGACCTCTCCAGAAGGGCTGTCTAATATGTTTCCAATAAGATTAATTACCTGGGCTGTATGATAGTAGATTAAAAATAAAGAAGGAAAAATACCAGCATCTCATGATTCTCATTCAAAGTATAGATCAAGAGTATCATAACTTTTATCTTAACCTACCACGTGAATAAAATGTCCAGCTCATCTTTGAGTTGTTATAATAAATCATTATTTAATTTTTATTTTGATATTATGGATCTCATTCTTATTTGTGCTAGTCACGTGACGATATGTTTTTTCTTACATCAAAGAAATATTTTTTTTATTTCTGACCTAATATAAATTTGCCTATCTCCCTAGTTGTATCCAATATTAGGCAGATATATGCCTAACTCCTCATTGAGTGTGAAAAAAAATTATGCTAAAACATTCCAAAATAGTTTGGAATATAAAATCAATAAGCTTATGGAAAATTATTACTACAAATAGTTTTTCATCTCTCCTGAAAACTTTACTGAATTGGGCTTAAGCAGTTTTCTTATTAGGGCGACGATTTCTACTTGATAACAAGCAAATAAATCTTAAATTAACTCGTGCCATGCGGACCTGTTGATGCGAACCATAACAGGTAGCAGGTTGCCGAAATGCTTGTCAATCACACGGGTCCACAAAAAAATAAGTATTGTCTGCTAGGAGTCCCACCAGCGGGGGGGGGGTGTAAAACATCCTATGGTCGAACCCCCAGGTCATGATCTCCAGGCAAAATCAAGGAAACTGCGTTACCGGCATCGAGTCACGTGATGCTTGCCAGGATTCTCTATCGTTATCTGAATGTAAAGATATGCAATATGACGTTTGTTTTTGTTAACATACAGATTTACAGCGCTGATGCTTCCCGAGATATTTCGTTCAAAATGAGCATATAAAGCAACACCATCAGTAGCTGTGAAGATCTACATGAAATGTATTGTGGCTATTGTGGGATATGTAGGAGTTAAGGAGACTGTGTCATAAAGTGCTACAGGTAGGCTGTGAACTTGACATATCGGATGATGTGTTTAGTAGATTTTTCAGAATCACATGGAATAGTTATCTCTGGATAATCACTGAAGTTGGCAGCGTTTTATGAAGTATATAAGCTTTTTTGTATTGACATCAATATTTAAACAATGCCTGGTAATACCGGCACAGAGTACAGAGATAAAGTCACAAGTTTCATAAAGCATGTAATAAGAAAAAATTCCGCCCATCTAGATTCAAAAAATAGATATGGTAAATTGGCATAGAGCTCAGTAAACTAATTAAAAGTGGCTAGCTCATTTACAAAAACTGCATAAATTACATTAGTGTTTTCTGTATTGTTTCATATTATGAAGAAGCAATTCAATGAAGCAGGACACATGTGATTTGTAAAGGGCGTTTTCAATAACATGAATTTGGGATAAATCTATCTATATTCCATGTCTACCAATTTTTATACCATTATCAAAAATATATGTTTACAGCATGTGATCACTTAATAAAAATAAATGTATATTGTGAATAATTAGCATTTGATTTAATCATGATTTTACAAGGACCTTACATTCGTGTTCATGGGAAAAGATATAGTGGGGCCCCTGCAAGCAGCACTTTTTGTGGACCCTGTGTCTCTAATGAGTCCAATGAATTCCATGAAGAGAAATAAGAGTTTTTAAGCTATATGTAGTTACAGCCTGTCAGCTCAGTTGTGTTCTCCTTCGAAAAAATTAATATCACAACCACCCAAGATACTCAGGTTTGAAAAGCCTCCCAAAATGGGCAAAATGGTCCAAATCATTATAGCATAGAGAACATTGAGAATGTGCAAAGGAATTCTTTCAAAAAGGTCAAAAGGCCTTGAAACAGTGCAAATCTAACATTCAATTTTATCGATGGACTCCACAAACTTTAAGCTACAATCACCTTTCCCATTATACCAGCAGCCTTACAAATGCCAATACTGTATAACCCTCTCATGTTTCTCTGCGTCTTGTGGCTTCTCAAAGTGTAGCAAGATGAGCTTGCTGAATTTCTTCAGTTCTCTGTCAAATATATCGTCACCTGTAAAATGAAGATTCTATTGTTAGCAGAAAAAATCTAAATTATTAGATACACGAAAAAATACGCTACTCAAAAAAATCAAGGGAGCAAGAAAGAAATCCAAATTTTTCGGTGATTTTTGCCAGGCTGAATTTCGGTGAAAAATGGTCGTAACTAGAGTTTAAAAAAGCGTTTTGAAGCTTCAAGATTATGGTTTTCAAGTTTTTTAGCCGAAAAATTTTACGAGTAACGGTTCTCATGCAATTCTAAGAGATAGCGCCTGAAAATTTCTTGCAAAATTATTGCTTAGTTCTTTTTAGTCCACGGGATTAAAAAAATTTTTTTCTAGCCATCGTATGTTTTTAAAATCTCGATAAGATCATTTGGCGCGCAGATATCTGACTTTGAATGAAAAAGGAACCTTTTGTCATCGACCACTGATATCTCGGGAACCAGTGATCCTACAGAGAATGTAATGGTATTCCTGGAAAACCGGAATCTTCGAGTATTTTTTTGTTTTCGTAATATTGGTTTTAAAAAAGTAAAAAAACTACTTTTTGCCTTTTTTTTGGAAAATAAACCGTATTTTTTGAACGGCTAATGAGAAGGTTTTCAGGTTGTTTTTATAGCTCTATGTACCCCTAATAACCCCATAAGACGGCAGATCGATCCCTTGTACAGTTTCTTCGGACCGATTGTTGGAAGTTTGAAAATGATGCAAATTCAGTGTCGTACCGAACACTGAATATTTTCTAGATCCGCCCTTGGTATTTTTGTTTTTTGGAATATTCCATGAATAAAAGAATGACGTATTAACAATTGTTATTTTTAAAATTTATGGCGTTACAGATATCCAATAGTTTCAACAAAAGAAAAAAAAAGATTTTTCCGTTTTCAACCAAATTATAGAATGTTTTGGTACAGAACGTTTGCTCTTTTGACTTCTTTCAAATTTTGTCCAATCGTTCCGGAAAAAACGTAGAATGGATCGATCTGCCGTCGTGTATGGTTATTAGGGGTACACTAGAGGTATAAAAAACCTAAAAACCCTTCTCATTAGCAGTCCCAAAAATGAAGTTGCTTTTTCAAAACAAGGCAAAAACTTACTGTTTTGACTTTTATTAAAATCAATACTAAGAAAACGAAAATTCCTCAAATACTGTACTTGTTACTGAGATATCAGTGGTCGCTGATAAAAGGACTCTTTATCATTCAAAGATCGTATCAAGATTTTAAAAGCAGGATATTGAAGCTGAATAAACGAGATATCTGATCCATATGATGGCCTAACATGGACTAAAAAAAGACAAACATTTTGCAATGTTCCGTAGAATCTTAAAGCTACACAACGTTTCTTTTTTAAGTCTAGATAATAAGACCATTTTTCACCAAAATACAACCTGTCAGAAATCACTGGAAAATTTTGGCTTTATTCTTGATTCCTCAATTTTTTTGATTAGTGTAGAATATTCCTCAAATATTATTTTATTTTATTCAATGATATGTGAAATATCTCTAAGAGGTGCGCACAATTACTGGGGTTGGAAACGTGTAAATATACTTTCACCAAACAATTGAGTCATAACCTAAACCCCCCCTACTAAATGATATGAACCTCTGAAACTTAAAAAAACTGGCTAAATAAGCGGTTATTTTTGCGTCTTTTGCCTATAGCTCCTCCGCCACTGAACCAATTTTCAAAAACCAAAAAGCTCTTCAGTTTTTGGCATAACAGTAACCGTACGTTCAAGGTTTATCAAAATCCGAAAGGCACTTTCCAAATTGTCGACGGGCCAACGATTAGCAGACAGACCGACAGACTGACAGAAATAAGTGACATGATTTTTTGTGATGACGTAACATCCAAATAACATAAAATAACATAAATGTCTCGTTTTCTAAAATTTTTGAGAGTTAAGTAACCAAAAGGCTCAGAAATGTCGAAAAAGGGAGTTTTCGTTCTCAACTCTGCAACCGCTGGACATACTTTCACAACCTACAAAGCACTATGCTGACATGATAAGTACTCATGTTTCGCCAAAATCCGAACAATATAGTTATAGAAGGAGATAAGGAGAACGATCTAAAATAAGTGGCATTCGTGTTTTGTGATTTGCAGATCATCCAGGTCAGAAAAACATTTTTGCATCCAGAATGTTTCACGATTACAAAATTTTCTGGCCAACTGACGTGAGAAGCAACAATAAGTGTCTTGTGGTTCTTACTTGATGCATCAATTTTCGATTTAGGGACAACTTAATATGTCTATGTGAGAACTTTCCAAAAAATGAGAAAAGTGAGTATTTTATAAAAAAATACTAAAATGAGTACAAGAATGAATAAGAATAAGCAAAATGAGTCAGTGACCCCGCCACCCCCCCTGCTGACTGGACATATGAGACTAGTTCTCAAAGTTTGCCATTCCAGGGCATGGTATTATTAGCCCGTTAGTTCTGTTTCAGTTATGGTATCTTGTTATAGCATAATAAATCTGCAACAATATTATGCACTAAAGTAACATTATTCATCGTCCAGGCTATTTCAATTCTAGTCCAAGCTGTCGATGTGGCGAATTAAGTCCATCAGTACATATTGCAGTTCTTCCCGCGAGCTCATCGCATCTAGGCATGAAATCTTTGGTTGCATCTACAACATCTATAACCGACAGTTGTCGGAATCGGTAGGTACCAATAAGAGCAAAAATTGCACCTCTGAGGCTCCTATATTCTGCTAAACGCAAACAATAATTGTAGGAGAAGGTATTCAAATAATGGGAGGTTAAAACCTCCCAGAGCTCGACGAAAACTCCGACCTTACACGATTGCAGCTGCATTTTCTTCTTTTATTTTTGGTCAAAATCAATTTAAAAAAATAACACATAGATCTCACCTGTCTTCGAAATCAACCGACTGACGTCCCATTCAACAGATGGCAGTGGAGAATTGATGAATTGTGCTGCAATTGCTACGCTCGGTTGAACGTGCTGTTGCAAAGTGCGGATCTCCCAGAGGGAGCTGTTTATTGCGTTCGATTTGACAGGATCTCTCTCCTCCATAATGTACGGATCAGACGTGTAAGTGGCTGTATCAGGGTTGTTCAGCAAACATTTCAGACCAGGATGTCTAGAGATTAACAAAAACAAAAAACCTTATGAAACCACTGTGTTGAAGACATACAAACACAAGAACTACTACATTGCCCTTCCCATTAGAAAGATTCAACAAATACAGAATCAGGCTGTAGAATATTATACAGAGTGTTCCTTAATGATATGCGAATATTTAAGGGCGTGAATATACATGAAAAATTAATGTTAAGTTTGCTTCCTAAACTATGGTCCAAAAATGTTTCCTTACAAAAACTCTGGGTGTTGAAGTTTTAGGGAAAAGATGGAAATTAATTAATATTTTCAGAACCGCTTCAGATATTTCACTGATATTTAGTACGTAGTGAAAGTTAATAAAGTTGCATATTTTTCAATGCAAAAATAATTTTTAGCTTTAACAGTGGCGTGCGTTCGGGTATTGATTTTTTATATTTTTGAAGAAAAAAACCAATAGTTTTTTGTCAAATGAAAATTATTTTTGAATTCCCCGTTCAATATAAAACAAATGATCTCTCCTGAATTGTTTTCTTTCGATGCGCAATTTTTGAGTGATAAAATAAGAACCATTCTATTGTCTAACTTGCAAAATTATTAATTTAATTGGAAAAATTAAGCACATTAGGGGTAATGAACAACAACAACTGACAACATAAACATAACATTAAAACCAACTAAATGATTACAAAAATTGTTGAAAATGACCCCCTTCACTTAGTATGCACGCTTCCGCCCTCCTTCTTATGGAATTGCGCAATCGTTGAAATATCCCAGGAGTATTTTTTATTTATTATTATATTTATCACAAGCTGCAACTATTCTTTCTCTTAATTCCTCTACAGTGTTAATGGGACTTGTGTACACTAGTGTCTTAGGATAGCCCCAGAAAAAGAAATCTAAACTGTTGAGGTCTGTGGACCTCAGTGGCCATTCTTGGGGCCCACCGCGGCCAATCCAACGATTTGGATAAACAGTTTGTAAATAATTACGAACCGCTACACTGAAATTCGCTGGTGCACCATCATGCATGTGCCACATATTGTTTCTTATTACTAACGGAACATCATCAAGCAGCAAAGGCAACTGTTGTTGAAGAAAATTGAGGTAAGTCTGTCCGTCAAGTCGTCCTGGCAAGAAGAATGGGCCAATAAAGTGGTAGCCAATAATTCCTGTCCATACGTTAACAGAAAATTGGGTTGGAAATGGGTTTCGGTTACGGCATAGGGATTTTCTTCTACCCACAAATGATTATTGTGGAAATTCTGAATGGCATTGATTCAAATTGCGGATTTTGTGTAATTTTTTGAAGATACCACTGACAAAAGATCGCACGCCTTGGAAAATCAACGGGAAGTAATGCCTGTACTCTTAAAATATGGTTAGGATATAACAAAAAATCCACTAAAATTCTCCAAACAATTTGGTGGCAAATATTTAAGTGTCTAGCAATCTTCCTCGCACTCATTTCAGGATGTTCTTCGACTTCGTGCAGCACTGCCTCCTCAATTTCACGTGTTCTCACACTTAGAGGTCTACCTTCACATGTTCCTTTTCCGTGTTCGGACAGAACCAGTTTCAACAAGACGACAATGAAAATTAGAAAAGGTTCGACTATCTGGCAAAGCACGATCGGGATATCTCTGGTGATAGATCCTTCTTGCTTGCTCACCATTACCATCGGCAAGGCCATATACGTCATGCATTTCCACCATTTCTGGATTTTAATAATTCACCACTATTAGCAAGATTGTAAAAACTAATAATGAAAAAGGCGTCACAGCGAACCGATTTGATTAACAAAGACTTGACAGATGTCAAAAGCTAGTGACATATTCCAGAGCAACTAGATATTTATTGCTAAATTGCATTCTTCAATTATTACATTAATTTTCTCGGACAATAAAACGGTTTTTATTTATTTACTCAAAAATGGCGCATCGAAGGAAAACAATTCAAGACACACACTAATGGAGGTGCCAGTACCACTGACGTAGTTAACCCTAAAATATCTCCTGTCGGATCTTACGATGTTTTGCTCCTCGTCGAGGTCATATCAAGATCATAGTTGCGAGAGAACTTTCCATTGCATCAGTTAAAACCTATACATTTTCCTCTGTCCTAAAGATTATGCCCCAGGACCGTGGATTTGCGGAGGTCGTCCTCGCTTTCGGTTTCTGAGCGACTTTGCAACTTTCCAGAGAGGAATACTCAGTCAAGCATCCCCGCCAGAAAGTCGCTCCATTGCTCATTACAGAATTCAAAAAGAGCATCTCTCATTTCAGGAACAACATTCGTCGCACTGCGATGACATGCGTTTCACAGCATTTGGCGATCTGTCTACTCATTTCCTATGATAATTATGACATAACCAGCTTAAAGCGCGAAAAATCCTATACATTTCAAGTTGCTGAATATTTTAGAACAGCGTGGATCTCAAAAAGTTAACTTAAGACACTTACCTAAGGATAAGATTTCCAATAAAGTTACATATAATTATCACATCTTCAGACGGCGCAATCAACGCCAGTCTTGCCAATCTCTTTGCAAATGCTGCTACTAAATTCTCAGGCAAATGTGTAGAGCTTAAAAACGTATCAGCCAAGAAAAACAATCTTGATTTGTATTTAGTGTGGAATATTTCTGGCTCAAACATTGAATAAAGCTTTTCGAATATACCAGGGTAATCTAAGTTATGTCCTTGAATTAATATCAGGATCCCTTGAAGAGCTAGAAGGCTTATAGGACCAGGTACATCTAAGGAATCCATCAAGAAGTCTGTCAATAATAAAGGTTTTTCGAGATGTGACATTACTTTTTCGAGCAGAACCAGAAGCATTGCCTGTTGGTTTTGATGTGTATGTTCCCAGTGCATTACACAGTGCCATACTTTGTTGAGGTATTTTTTTGTTTTATTCTCATCGAATGTGACGAACGGATCTGAAAGTGTAAATATATTTTTTCAGATATAGTGTAGTACGAGGGCGGTCCGATAAGTACTTAGCATCACCGTCCGACTCGTGGTTTTGTTTTGACCGCGTGTGGAAGCGACAAAAATCCACGACCTCGTATTGGCAGGCCATCGATTGAAGGTGCGCGAGATAGCTGAGACAGTAGGCATCTCAAAACACTGCATGGAATATTGGGCAGGAGAAAGCTGTCTGCGCGATTGGTGCCGCGTTTGCTCACTCTGAACAACAAGCGCGTTGGTGAGACCACTTCAGAGCAGCGTTTGACGCTGTTTAAGCACAATCCGAAGGAGTTTCTGCGTCGTTTTATGACCATCGACGAAGCATGGATCTACTGATACACACTAGACACCAAGGCACAGTCGAATCAGTTTCCTGGGATTCACAAGGTACTATCTGGAGAAGGGCAAAATGTTCACAAGTCTCTACTATGCCGAATTGCAAAAAAGGCCCCATTTGGCAAAAAAAAGCGCTTTTATTATTAGGCTACGAACTACTGCTCCATCTACCATATTCGCCAGCATTGGCCCCGTACTTCTTTTTGTTTCCAAACTTGAAAAAGCCACTCGCTGGGCAGAAATTTTAGTCGAATGAGGAGGTTATCACCACCATGGAGGCCTACTTTGCAGACCTCCAGAAAACATCGCTGGGTGAAGTATATCGTTCTAAAAGGAGACTATGTTGAGAAATAAATTGCTACTTTTCCAAAATGTTCGTTTTTCTTTTGTTGAATAAGTACTTATCGGACCCCCTCGTATTTTAAACCAACTAGAGGGTGATTCATTTATAGGTACGTTATCTAAAAACATAAACAATAAAAAAGTCAACTGTGTTGGGTTATGTTTATCTTTAGATAAGAGAAGCATTCGTTATGTGCCTTAGATGAAACTTAATTTTTCAAATGTTGGTCACCACTGCAGATAACACGGTAACCATTTTCGAATTCCAATTTATGACGTGTCCATGCATTTCAACGAATGCTGATTAATTCCTCGATCCGAATTATTGTGGCAGTCGAGCCGTGATTTTAACGGCCATTCTACAAGTAGCTGCACAAGATCTTGTTGAGACAAAATGTTCTAAAAATTATTGCTTGACTGCAAAGCAGAAAATAAGTGTGTTATTGTGGCACGATACTGATTGCCAATTAGCACTCAAGAATATTGGATGAGTGCTCATAGATTGAAATTCAAGCACAAACAAAAGTAACAGCCAAAGGTTTAAAGGAATAGTCTTCAAAGCATGAATGGAAATCAAGTTTCTTTACTTCGATAATAGAGATAGCCCAAATAAGTTGATTTCTGTATATTTTGTTTTGAAAAAATGGTGTCAAGTAGGTTCAGTAACACACAAGTTAGCTACAAACATGTATAACAAAAAAATTGCATAGATCAAGTCAGCCAAACAGGTCCACACAACTAGTTCATACTTCATAGCTAATGCTAACTCTAGTTTCTTCCCTGCCCTTAGTACAGGAAATAATATCCAATTTTAGAAATTTTTTGCGATAACAATACTTCCTTGCCAGTAGGCGTGGGAAGTAAAATGTACCTGTAAATGGATTACCCATTAAAAAGATAATTTTAACCAGTAACTCAGTATATGGGAACACAATCCTCTTCAGATGCTAATATTTGTTGCTATAGAGATGACCTTTTTCAACGTTTTTTCAAATCCAAGTAGAACACAAAATATATACTTACTATTATCATCTCCACATAAGAGTTTCATTTCTCCATTTTGGTAAATATCCAATTTTCCCAAGAGAGTTAGAAAGTTGCTAATATAAACTTCACATGGATTATACTTTGGAGTCAGTGATGGTAGAAGTGTCCATGTGTAAAACAATATATCATTATACAACAAATATTCTGTGAATTTGTTTATTAAATGTGTATTATTCTGGCTACTTGAAAGCATTTTATTGAGAACAGCTTTTAGTTTTGTTAAAGGTACATATTTGTTTAAAATAGTGTTATCTAAGGGATGTTTCCCCTCTGCTGCAATTATATTCATAGCAGTAGTGAGAGCTGAAAAAGAAAATCATATTACTATGAATGGTCTCAGCTTCGCCCATATATGGGCATCACTAATTCGTAAAAACCTCAGTAAAGGCACCCAGTATGCAACAACAAAACATTGTGATACAAAATGATTGAACAGTACATTGCTAGTAGTTGAGTAGTCATACTCAATACAGCCAATGAGCAAACATTTTCTAGAGAGCCCCTATGCAAGGGGTAAAGTTATGGGTGGATCAACAGAAATCAGATGATAGAAGGCCTCAGTACTTATCGATTGAACCCCTATATATGTAATTGGATATTTTATAGTTCAGGATATAATTGCGATTTTGTGAAATTAATAAAACTAAAAATGGTGCTCCATCCAAGATTTTTTATGCAGAATTACATATTACACTATTGTGTATATGTTAAACCGGCAATAATCCCCCAAATATGTGGTTGTTAAGTGTACCACCACTATTTATAGGAACTTTTTGTATTATATTTGGATGTACTTTTTGTTCATCAAGTATACATTCATAAGGCTCCCTAAGGATTAACATTCTGGGGCACTACTATGGTTTGCCCTCATGATCATTATTCCCTACAAGAGTACAATCTTCTTCCTCAATTACCGCTGAGCTCCTCTAATAACACAAATCCATCAAAATACAGAATATTCTTAAAACATGTCAGGAAATAACCTCTTGGATTTTTTCAGGTTCGAGAGACACAGTGAACAGGCTAGCCCTACACTTGAAGAAGCTCAAGTTTACCGTAACATAACAAAAAAATGTATCTCTGCCTTGAACTTACCTTGTGCTTGAATCTTCGGAGATGGGTTCTCAAAACAATGCAAAATTTTATTGTAAGTATCATCGTACAACTGCCTCAGCCATCTCTTATGGAGGTTCTCGGGCGTCCTTTCTAGAGGTTTGAGTGCAACTACTTCTATATACATATCTTTTTCCTTTATCAGCGAGGTAAACACAGATTCTAAAGCTAACAAACATGAGTGCTGATCCGCCCCAGAGCCAAAATGGTGCAAAATGTCCTCCAGACACCGCCTGTTCTTTTTGCAGGATAAAAACTCGTTTGCTCTCTGTCTTAGCTGCTTGGAAATTTTCAAGGGACGCTCTTGATGGGACATCTTCGTACTAAAAAGGCTAAAAATGCAAAATTATAACAGCCAAACTTCTACGCACATTTGAGGTTAGATAAGAAATGCCAGTGTTGCCAATGGCAGTCGCCAATTTCCCTACGTCAACTTTGACCTTTGATCTGTGCAAGGCGGACATCCCCTCATATCTGAGAAAATTTTATGCGTCAAGACCAATATCTTGGCGATGTTTGTGGTAAATTCTGAATCCAAATGTACAGGATGATTTAGAAATTAATTAACATACGTTTCACTGACCTTTTTAACTCGAAACTCAAAATTATCCAACTCTCCTGATGGTTCTGTTTTTGAAGCTTGGCAACATTGTATGTCGGACTGAAGGTCAGGATTGTTTCCAATCGAAGTGTGGGGGAGGGAGAAATACAACAGGTCAGGACTTAGGAGCATTTTCCCATAACATAAAATTACAAAAATTGCCCCCAGAAATAGTCTTTTCTCTGTTGAATAACTTGCGATTAGCGCATAGTTCGCTTATTTTTCAAAATTTCGCCTGTAATGTATCAACAGCTTGTGAGCAGGTTACTTAGAACGTGTTTTTGAATACTTAATATATTTTTTTTTATTCAGACATTTCGATGAAAAACAACACAAATATGTGATAGGGTTGACTAAATAAAACTCAATATGGTAGTTATTGTTGACTTTATTTACAAAGCAGAACAATACAAGCACTGTGTATGCTACAGATTACTGCACTAAAACTGCAAATCGGTACAACATTGTAACTTTATTGTTGAGAAAGAATACGTACAAAAAAACATTCTACCGATTTGCATAAATTTGTATTCGCTACGGACTGTTATTCTCACTATTTCAGTAGTCGTGGCAAGTAACTACAAAACGTTAAGGGATATTTACACTGTTTTACTTCACAGTAACATCATACGGTATGATGATTTACAAAAATAAATAAATCATAGAATCACTTGAAGCTGTATAGAAAGTTCATCCATTGAAACAAAAAAGACATTAAGTAGTCCTAACAGCAAGGTACCTTATTATGGTTCAAGAACAGTCGTGCTGCTGAAATTTACGTATATTTAATGTTCTCAATATAAATCTATTAATACCACTTTGAACTGGCATATTGAATTTGTCAGATCAGCGTAATTTTTATTAAGCTGAACAGGATTTGGAGATAAATATTTTTTTTAAATGGAGTAAGGAGATAATTATATAAAATTATATATTATATCCAAGTATTAGGGATTTTATAAAATATAGTAGGTCTGGCGAATTTAGAATGTCACCTTTATCAGGTGACCCTAGTGATGACAGTATCATATATATTATTAGCTGTAATGTCTGTAGGAGAGCAAGACTACTAGCCAGAAGAGGCTTCTACAATTGAAAGAAAAAACGGTCAGCGTAAAGGCTAGAAGTAGGTACATCATCCTCAAAATTACGACAGAAATAAAAAATTGTTTAGCTGGTAGATAGAGTAAACTAGTAATCTGGTATGAGATAATAGTCAATTTCAGCACTGACGAACGTATTCTAGGGAAGATGTCTAACCATACAGAATGTTAAATACAAAATTTGTAGCCAATGCTCCTAATTTCGAAAATATGTTTATATGTCTAAAGAGTGATTCATAACTACAAGGTGACCCAAAAATAATTTTTTTTCCAAGCGAAGCAATTTGATATAATAATATGCTATAGGGTTTGATATTAATATTGGCGAGATAGTGAAAAATCCGTCGAAAAAAAATACTGACTCTGACAACTCACACCTCAGCAGCTGTTATAGCTGGAGTAGCGAGTTTATTTCGGCAGAAAAATTTAAAGATCCCATGTTTTCTCCCTGCCTACTTACTTTTTAGTTGTATATTTTCACATATCTTTTCCCATGTTTTCACCAGCTTTTTGTAATATATGTTTTATAAGGGTTTCTATGACTGGTTTTTGAGTTATCAAAACACAGCGACACCTTCTTGACTTTCCGATTTTGTCGCATAAGATGGAGTAGACTTAATTTATAATGAAAATACACGAATTCTAACGACATATCGTCACCAGCCCAGTGCAAGTTTTTATTTTGAAACGTAATGTAATATTTGTCATTTTCCTTGATATCTGATTTACAAAATGGTTAGCTGTAACTCAAAAATGAGTCGTACAAACACCCAAAAACCTTATATAAAAAGAAACTTGTGAAGAGGGGGGTCAAAGGATGTGAAAATATACTTGCTGATCCATTTGAAAAATTTGTAGTGTTCTTGACCACCCTGAATAGGCTATAAAAAAACTGACAAAGCAACTGTGTAAGGAAGAAACATGGAGTCATATGATTTTTCTGTCGACAAATTTAGTACTCTAGCTATAACAGTTGAGCGTTTTTTTTTAAATAAATTGTCCCATATCTCAACAATTTGGAAATGAAGTCCTTTAGTACGTTATATCAAATTGTTTCATTAGGAGGAGCCTGTCAAACTCTTCTATAAAAGGGCCCCACTAAAAACTCACCCAGTATGTTGTATTTTGACGTTGTTTTTAAAGAAAACTGCTAGGATAATGTTTATTTGTTCATTTCCTACTCTCAGAATTTTTCAGTGATGGAAAATAAATCAACAAGATAGCCAACTTACTTAATGCTCTATTCCCGCACACAAAAAATTATCTGAGATGAAAAGAGATACCATAGGGTCATCTATGAGAATGTGTCACAGCTGTTCTCGATCTATTATAGATACTTTAAAAAGGTTAGTCTCATAGATATATATATATATAAATATATATACAGGGTGACTTCGAAGTTGAGTCATTTATTTTAACAGTGAGTAGATCTGATCAAAAGAAATGTTTTTTCCTTTACCAGTTTCCTGGTAAAATTAAAGTAACAAAGTTATAGCCCTTTGGAAGTTTGAGTACCGCCCTGTCTCAATAACAATATTATGTGGTCGTGTTCGGCGACAATGGATATAATCCGCCGTATCGGTTCATCGCATCGGAAACAAAAAAGCGAAAGAATTTGTTTTTACAGGTATCTCATTCATTTGTATACAGTTAGTGTCAGTGAATGGTGGTATGTGTTGCGTGGCTCAAACGAAATAAAAAATGGCACATGTTTATGCGGATCGGTTTCCCAATCGGGTGCAACCAACCCCTCGTGCCTTTGTTAATGTAGTACAACGGGCTTGTGAATCAGGTGACTTAAGACCTCACAGGGGACCTCACGATCAAATACAGGTCCGCACTGAAATACTTGTCGGGAGGATACTTTATAAAACAAGGTAAAAATTTTTTTTTATTTTTTTTTTATTTTTACACACATATTTTGGTTTATCTTCCCTTCTACAATCATTATCTGAAAATTAATGACTCAACTTCAAAGTCACCCTGTATATATATATATACTCTGGTATATGCTCATATAATTGGCTATAGCGCCATCTACGAGACACTAACCCTTTTGAAGTCACACAATTTTTTAAATGTGAGAATATAGCATTAGGTGGGCTATCTTCAGGTAAAATCCGTTAATCAATGAAAGTAGTAAGCGCGGTTGGGGGCACTATGGACCGTTTGCTTATTTTCGCGCTGACACGAATTTCCATTAAGTTGGGTAACTTCTGGCGGAATTTGTTAGCCAGGTTACAATGAATTAAACATTTCCTACCAAGATAGATACATGATGCATATCAGAACTAGGCAATCAATCATTCTCCATACTGTTAGATGAAGCAAGCATTGAGAGTACCCAAATGCCTAGAAATCAATAAATATGGACATTTTCTTTAAGTAAAAATGTGTCGCACTAGGATACCTTTTTTTAAAAACAGTAAAAATGTGGCAACTAAAAACTGATATTTTCATAACCAAGATTATTTCAAACAACTATAGCAGCTAGAACTAGCTAAAATTGACAATCGTAGTACGTAGAATTCACTGAGACTCCTATATTCCAATCATTCGTAGCTTTTCATGTTTCTTGATTTTCCTGGCCTTCTCCCATTTAACTTCTTTAATGGCAATGACAATGGTTTATGGTTTTGTTATCAGCTATAGTTTTGAGAAAACATTTTGCGCTATCCACTGCAAGCGTATTCGAAATGAAAAAAACAGCCAAAAAATAAATGTTTTCAATTTCATTTTTCCACGACTCATCCAAAATCTGTTACCATTTGATTTATACTAATCTAAGATTAAGATTTTAAGCCATAGGTCTAATGCCAGCTTGGAGAACAAGTTAACACAAAAATAATTTTTCGAACAATTTATTCATTATTATCAAGTTCGCTTTTCTTTTGTCAACTGCACTAAACATAAGTAACGTCCTGTAAAGGAGTTTCAAAGAGATAACTTAATGCAATGGATTCACAAAAGGCGCGCACTTGTTCTAGGTAAAGACACAAATCCCATACCAATACCATAAAACAGAACAAATATGTAGTAGTACAACACACAGTTATAGTACACAATATACAAGGTGTTTCCTAATTTTGAATGTCAATATTTAAGGAGGCGATTTTATGGTCCATTTTAAGAGAAAAATTCATATGAACATCTTAACTTTTGAGATACATGGTGATAAAGTTTTCAAGATAGAAAGTTGGTGATATGCCACTGACTTTTCTTAAATAAAGAAGATGTATTCGTATTCATTTATGAACATGTTTGATCCTTTGAATGTATTAAAAAAAATCTATTTATTAGCATGTTGATATTGTCATATTAACGCTATTATGATCATACACAAAAACGGTATTTATTTAAGCAAAATCTGGAATGCCGGATAGAAAAAATCGATCTCTATCCTTAGAAATAATTGGGGAATTCAAGAACAATTATTATTCTAAGAGAAAATCATGACATAACATCAATATCTGCCAAAATAGACTGTTGAAATTCAGTAGTAAGACCACTGGAGGAAATCTAAAAAATGTAATGAGTAAATCTCTTTAGAATATCTAAACTTTACCACCTTGTATCTCAACAGTTCAGACGTTTAGGAGATACGTTTTTATTTTTTTGTTCTTAAAATTGATCCAAAAAACACCCCTTAAATATTGGCATTCAATCAGGAAGCACCCTGTATACAAATACTCAGAAATATTACTCCTTTGAATAGAATGAAAATAAAACAATATTATTATTATTATGACAGGATGCTACACAACAAACAAAATGAAGGTTGTTGTATAACATGTGCTAATTTTTTATTGAACTGATACTAAATTATCATTTTATGTTTTTTTTTGTGGTAGGATTGCAGTGTGTTTATTTAAAGAAAACCAATATATTTATTTCTGTGGTACTTTTTATCTGATTATTTCAATCAATCATGAATGTGCAAGTATGCTGAAAAGATGCCTTTTACAATATTTGAAGACCACAATTAGAGATGAAGCAGCAGCTGTGGATATAATTTTAGCACCTACCGTAATTAGTTTCATCAAGTCTTTGTCGTTGGTTGTAAAGTAGTAAAGACCACTGGTACTAAGCTTCTGTTAGCAGTCTATTTTTGCAATAATAGGAGTGTGCTATATTTAACTATTGATAGTGAAAGAAAATCTGCATTACGAACTATTTTAAATCGGTAAACGACAAGCTCTATAAATAACATATTAGATGTTGAAACACAGAAAATATAAAACTATTCCTAATAGGAGACATTGAGCTGAAAGAGAGTCCGCCACGGACGAGATCTATACTTTTATTATTTAAAGAACAAACCGTGTAGTTTTTGCCACTAGTAAATGAATATACAGTGCTTTACAAAAGATCCCCCATACTTATTTTTTTGTACGAGAAGTTAGCACGGTTAAATTTGGATTGTTGATAAATTTTTTCAGCCCATTATTTTACGCTTTAATCTCGCGAGATTTGCGTAATCTAGAAAAAAGTTTCAACCAAAAGGTGTAGTGTTTCGAGGGTAATGTCCTTAACTATGACCTACAACTTCATTTCAGGGTCAAGTAAATATGTTCAAATGGAACTCCTCGTTTTCACCTCGGAATTGAAAAGTGGAACAAATTTTACGCAACGGCCTTGCCGCTGACCCTGAAAATTGACTTCAAGGCAATTTAAAGGTCAAATCAAGACATTGAAAATGATTTAATCTAGTAAAAATGTTCGACAGCACAAATGAGAGATTTGTAGGGATTACCCAAAGGTGCTGAAGTTGGTCATGGCCTTCAAGGACAAGTCAAAACTTCCAAAGAAAATCTCCCATTTTTATACTGAAAATGTAAAAATCAGTCTGAATGTGACTTGTCCTCAAATGACATTTACGCTTGAAACGATTTTGGCTCTGAGGTCATTAGGAAATAAAATTTCATGCTTTTTCCATTTCCGCTTCTTTCGAAATTTTGACTTGATCTTGAAGGTCAGGGTCAAGTTTATGGCCAAGGTCAGCTTTGGCTGACCTCCACAAACCTCACAACTGTGCTGTCAGACATTTTTGGTTAAGCAAATCTTTTTCGATGTTTTTATTTCACCTTGAAATGGCCTTGAAAGCAATGGTCAAACTCATGGCCAAGGTGATGCCAGGACGTAAAGCTTGATCCTCTTTTCAATTCAGATGTGAAAAAGGGGCGTTCATTTGAAAATATTCAATTGACAAAAGTCAGTCATTTTGTCTCTTCAAAGCCCTACAGTTTTTGTTCGAAACCTTTTTTCAGAATGTGCAGTTTCCGGTATAGCCTTCATGTATCAATTTCCTCGTTCCACCTCGACCTGTTCAAAAAATAAGTTGGGGAGGGATCTTGTTGAAAAGCACGGTATAATGAAATGTTTTTGACAACATCGCAGAATATACGTTTATTGCTAATTCTAATTCTTTACTGAAAATATAAGTAAAGTTTGGTACCCGTATATCCTGACTTTACATGTCAGTCTCCTCTGTAAAGTTCCACAAATATTTCAGCTCCGTACCTGTGAAGTTTGTTGCCACTTTACCGAACATATCAAGGAATACCTGCAAACTTAAACTATGACACGTCTCACATAACCACACTGTGAAATATGTGAGCTTTTACATTGCAACCAAAATAATTGCACAACATGATAAAACAACAACTAACAAAGGAATGAAAGTGTTCTCTGTATTCTAAGTGCTTTCATTCTAATAATGAAGCTTATTTTTACAGTTTCAATGTTTTTTGGATCGGATGAATATATTTGTAACTTATTTATAAATATGAGCACAACTTTCACTTTTTTCTTCTAAAAAGGTGAATTTGTGCAGGATCATAACAGATCTGTCCTACACTTCTGTGTTTAAATTGATTATACTTACTAAGGCTAGATATTACTGTTAATGAGTAACTATAAAAATAAAAACAGTAATGTTCTCAACTTATACAAAAAACAACAATTATTTATGTAGTTTACATATGTAAAAATAAATAAAATCATACAAAAAATGTATAGGTAATAAAAACGAAGATAGGTAAAACTATCAACTATTTTTTTCACTACATAAAATACTAATTTGTATTAATATTAATTTTCAAATGATTCTGAAATTCACAAGTTGATGTTTTCTTTTCAAATAAATAGATAAATATCAGAAAAAAGTAATGCACCAAGATACTTGATTCAAAATTCAAGCATCTTCTTCTTAAATCAGTCTCATCTAAAGTTTCATTCCAGATAGTAGATAGACAATTTCATAGTAGTGCATTGAGCATTACCTTCAAAGACAGGTTGCTTTTTCACAGGAAACAAATATCTATTATTGCACGCTTTGAACTTTGGTATAAAAAATCCTTAATAAGAAATACAAACTAGTATTGTTCATTTTATATATCACACATACTGATTAGAGATTATTATAAAGTTCGGTTTGGAACCCGTGTTTATAGACTTAATTGGTTTCACTTCATCCCTCTAAACTCGCAATATAGGTTCTTCGTACTCCTGAATATACACGGTAGGTTTTCCAAAAACTTACCAGCTGTGCTTACGAGTTTCAGACTAGTTTGAAGGAAATTTTGTGCCTCCTATCTCAGTAACCTAGAAACAAAGATGAATAGGTAACTGAGTACATTTGCTAGAATAAGTATGCATAAGCTTGGTGGTAGTGTGCTACAGCTATCGTGTTTGTTCACATTTTTGCCAGGTTTAGAGGGTCGTAAAAAATCCATAAAAGTGGAAAGCCGTTAAGGAAAGAATAGGATTTCAATAATAAGTTCTAAAAGTCTATCCAAAGATTATTTTTACCAGTTACCATTACAGTTTTAAGAACTGCAGCCAGCCTGGATCGTCTGCATAGAAATGAAGATAAAATAATAAAGTAATTTGAATTAAAAAAATATTGACAGCTATCCTGATTGTTAGGGTCACCTTTACGAAAATAAAATATTATGTTTTTTGGATTTCTTATGACATGGCCATCTCGAAAAACCATATCACTGATTTACGCGGCACGGGTATTATGTAAAAAACCTATAAAACGTCAAAAAAACCTATAGAATGTCATCTTGCAGGCTAGGTAGACATTCCACGTTTGCTCACTGTATGCGTCCATCTATCGAGCAATGACTGAACTTCACGCATTGTTGGTTGCACATGTTTTGTGAAGTCGAGTAGTCTGTAGTTTTCATCTCCGAGAAGAAAGTCGGTTGAATAGCAAGATCGCATCTAGATGATTATGTGTATTGGTCTGCACGTGTATAAAACCAGTGATATTTGCTGTGTGAAAAAATAATTACTAAATATGCTGCTAATGAAGTATATCTATTCGATGTGCTCGACGGGTTATTTATATGATGTCCAATCTGAAGACAGGTTATGTTCCAAGTTATAGATTACGGTTTTTTACGTTTTTTTGTTGTATTTTCAAAAACTCTGAGTAAATTACGAGCAATCACCACCGCGCCCGCGTTGTGTGTAATTACTGTTAGCATGTATATGATCTGTAATTCGGCAGTGTACAGTGGATATAATTATTACTTATCTCTCTCATTTTTGAAATTCAGCAAATTTTCATATACAGCATTATTTTCCTTTTTTAAGCGTCTAAAGCTGATCGTTTTCGAGATATTTGTTTTTAAAAGTTCCAATGCATTATTTGTACCCTGGTAATAAAACATTTTTATAACATAATAATCAAGCTGCTTTGGATAATATATGAGTAGCGTTGCTATGGTTTTTAACAATAACAACTGAGGACGGCAACAAAACTAATAAACGGAAATAACTACAAAAACTGTTCAAAACAAGCACCACGTTGCCTAACACACTCTCGTACTCGACGAACTGATCTAATCTAATCGGCTTCACAAAACATTTACTTGTTTTCTGCAACCAACAATGCGTATAGTTGAGTAATTCCTCCATAGATGGACGCTCACAGCGATCATAGCGAGCAAACGTTGAATGAACACGCGGAATGAACTATTTTGTACCCCAAAAACTACCTAGACTGTATTTTTTTGTACGTTTTATAGGTTTTTTACATAATAGCCATGCTGATCCACCACAAGAACCGTTCAATCGAAACGGGTCGTACGGAAATGACACAACTATACTGACGCACTTGGGTAAAATGGAGTAAACTGTAAAAATCAAAGTCTGAGAAAATTCAGTTCAAAATTCTGGATCATTTCGAAACAAATAAATAGTATTATTACAACAGAACCAAAGTGAATGAATATTGCAAAGTTACTTAACTTTATAGAGAGTCATTTAAATTTGATTTCGGATTATAATTGTTGTTGAGGCCTAAAATAAATAACATTCGGTCTTTAACAGTAATAAATCAAAAAACACTAAAATGTGAGTTAGTGATTTTATACTTTGCAAAGACAACTTTACTGCCTTTTCTCATACGTTTCATAATCTATTTGTATTATTTTTCAAAGAGGAAACGCAGTAATGCAGAATTTCATTTTATTTTCATATAATTTATACATGTTGAATTTCACATAAATCGCACAAAAGTAAAGCTTTTCAAGATCTAGTTATTCAATTTAAGAATCATACGATAAAATTTAGTAATTACATTCAACAAAAATGTTTCTATAAACTAAAAGCTACATGTTTTCTTGAATATCATGTTAAACGAAGAATATTTTTCAAAATCATTATTTTCGAATAAAAGTAATTATTTATAAGGATAAATACTTATTCACAAATAATAGAATTATTATATAAAAACTAAGTAAGTAAAGATTATAATAGGTTATAAAATGGTAAAAAGGCAGTACTTGTATCATACAGAGAATAAAAGCAGTATAGTTCCTTTTTTGCTTTGGTAAATTCATTTACTGCTTAGAAAATGTAGTTAACATGAAATATTTGACCAGGTGAAACACTAACTATTTTTATGAAATGCGTGTCCAATGATATACTTTGTAATAGTAATCATGAATGAAACCTATCGGCGTCAAAATTTCAAAATCAAACTGAACTTACCAAAGTACGGCAGTATAGTAGGTTGAGTTCAGAAGGGGTTTAATAGCGCGTTAACTACTTGAGCTGCCACCTAGCGGATAATAAATATCTCCGCGAAGGGCCAACAATCATTAACGTGTAGCGAGGTGCGAACAAGCGCATACTTTATATAGTTAAGCAGCATTATTTGATAGGTGGAAAGCAGATTCTGTGAAGTGGCAAAAAAGGATTATTTATAAAGGCAACTAAATATACAACTACATAAGAACATAAACATATTGTACAACTTTTTTATTTGTATTCTTATGTGAGAATGAGAAAGGAATAAATGTAACGTAACTCTTAAACTAAAACTCAAGATAAAATCTAATAGAAAAATTATTTGAAGATGTCTTAAATATTTTAAATAAAAAAAACTAATTTCGAGGCATTTTCAGTATCCAGTTTATTCCGAGGCTTACTTTATATTAGGCCAAAAGAAGAAAATGTGCTTTCTACACCAGCTGAAGATCCTTGTACAGCATGTAGTTATTCAACGATATCGATAATTTCATCAATTTCGCTTTATCAATATAATTTTTTGGCTTCTCCACCACTCAATTGTCTCTGCTTGCACTCTCCTTCAAATTTTACGATTATTGGCATTATAGTAAGGTCACTAAATCTGGTGGAAAATGGCGCATTTAAGTACAGGGTGACTTCGAAGTTGAGTCATTTATTTTAACAGTGAGTAGATCTGATCAAAAGAAATGTTTTTTTCCTTTAACATTTTTCTGGTAAAATTAAAGTAACAAAGTTATAGCCCTTTAGAAGTTTGAGTACCGCCCTGTCTCAATAATAATATTATGTGCTCGTGTTTGGCAACAACGGATATCGGTTCATCGCATCGGAAACAAAAAAAGCGAAAGAATTTGAAACGTTTATCACGATGTTTTTCGTCAGTCGGTAACGCGTGAGTGAATAGTGGTGTTTGTTGCGTGACTCAAACGAAATGAAAAATGGCACATGTTTACGAAAATGCTGAACTTGTGGACATGATTCTTATTTACGGGGGGGCAGTCTTTACAAAATGCTGCCGGATGCATCACGAATTTATGCGAATCGGTTTCCCAATCGAGTGCAACCAACCCGTCGTGCCTTTGTTAATGTAGTACAAAGGGCTCGTGAATCAGGTGACTTAAGACCTCACAGGTGAGGGAATGCCGGTGCTCCAAGACCGCACGATCAAATACAGGTCCGCACCGAAATACTTGTCGGGAGGATACTTTATTAAACAAGGTAACATTTCAATCATTATCTGAAAATTAATGACTCAACTTCAAAGTCACCCTGTATAGGTATAGAGTGCTTTTATCTAAGTTGAATTAGAATTACGTAGATTTCAACTACTCGTAATCCTAATAATTATATTATAGATCTCATGTAATATGAATTTGCTTAGCTTGGGAAGATCCCTGACATGAACAACTTTTATAAAACCAAATTTCTTCATTTAATTTCGTGGAGCTTAAAAGCAGGAAGACAGCTCTTTCTAAAATTTCATAAGCTACAATATATACAACCAGACTGAAAATAGTGAGTAAAGTGAATGTTTTCAATGAAAAGTGAAATGGATAGAAAAAAGTGAGACGCCAACATCCTTCCAGTTGGTTTAAACATGTCTACCCTGTGTTGAATACAGCCACTTACCATTTGGTTCACTATTTCCAGCTGGACTGGGCTGAGCTCCTCCAGCACTTCCGCTTCCCGTGCTACTGGTTCCACCTCCACCTCCTGTTGACCTTCCGGCGTGTGCGCATTCGTACTCCATGACCTCCTGATAAATCAACTCCTTCCACTGATCAACGGTGTGCTCGCGCTCGTCCACGCTGTGGTCGTACGGACCTGGAGCAGGCTGGAACAATACCGCGAAAGTTAAGGTATAAGCTAACGAAATATCGTTTTTAGTGCTACATAAAATGGCCGCTCAACAGCATTAATGAGGGTAATTCGGACTCAACATTTAATCATCCCCCACAAGAGCGAATAGAAAAGCGACAACATGTATTTGATAAGTCTTGGAAACTATTACTTCACCATACCATTTATTGACCACATTACATTGTACAAACTATTTTCAAATCTATTCGGGTGAGGTCATAGCATCAAAGTACTCATCAACTGAATAGAAGCAGTGGTTAAAAAGAAATTAATTATAGGACCAGAGACCAAGATTTTTAGTTAAAGATTGCATTCAGTAGTACAGCTCATAGTATACATATAGAATTTGATTCGGAAGACAAGCTCTTTTTGAGAAACTTGGAAACTTTGTCGATGGCTTCGTGGATAAAAAAATCATGTATCCCTTGCTTGTCATAAACTATTTGAGAAACTCAGTTGTTGTATACAGGGTAGCACAAAAAGTTATGATGAGTTATTTACCAAAAGTGGCGCCCTCTAGACGTTTGGCCATAAAAAATAACGGATTCTTGTTTATCATACTAGAAATCTTCCCATACCGAGTTTTATGTCAAAATTTGAAATACTTCTCAAGCAATAAGGAAAAATAGAAAATAAAATTGTAACTTTGACACCCTGTATCTCGCAAACTATCAACTTTTGGACTGAGGAATGTTCAGGTCAATTCAAATATTTTTGTCTGTAGTATATACATGGAAAAGGTGTTTGATATGATAGATTTAGGCAACCTATTAAAAGTTTCTTTAGGTTGTCTGGTGATCTTCTACCTTTGTTTAACTCTTATCTATTCTATTCAGGCCTACTTCAGGAATTTACCCAAGACTCAAATTTAGGACCTTCACTCTGTATTATACATAAACGATCTAACTCTTTACTCGCATTGTTTAAAATTATTGTATGTAGACCACTTGAAACTATATTACTCAGTAAGTGTATAATGACAATATCTTCATGGTCCCGAGCCAATCATCTCAATTTAAATGCTGACAAGTTCTTCACAAGAATACAGAATATATTAATTTTAGCGTATTGGCTTGGAAACGTTAGCCTTAAGCGTAACGAGCAAGTCGATGATTTAGGCATTCTCTTCGATCAAACATTTTTTTCTGTCCAAATAGATACCACTGTTTCGTCAGCTAATAAAATGTTCCTCATCATGAGGAACGCTAGAGAGTTCTCAGTCTCAGTTCTTGAAATTCTGTATACAAGTTGTGTTCGAAGCAAGTTAAAATATGGTATCTTGATTTGGTACCCACACTGTGCACCCATGTTAGTAAGATCGAGCGTGTCCAGAGAAATTTTTTGAAACATCTACATTTTAAGACTACGAGTGTATTTCCTGAGCGAGGATATGATTACTCTTTACTGCTTCATGAAGTAAGATTTGTTTCTCGGAACGCAAAGCGCATTTTTCTAACAACAGCCTTCAAGGTGCCTCAACCTAACAATGGAAATTGTTTTATTGTGATTGTGGTAGAACCACTATTTTGACTAAATCACCTGTTTCAATAATATGAAACATTTTTCACTTAATAAGTCATATCTGTGACATTAATTTCTCGCATTTCTCGCTTGTTTACAAATCAATTTTGCATATCAGATTTAATATGAAACTTTTTCGACTATTTTTCTTTGGGTATTCAACTGGTTATTTTTATACAGGGTGCTTCAGTTTATTGTTGCACAACTTTAAGATTCGATAGAACCTTTAAAATTAATGCATAAAGTCTATATAAACATGGGTCGAAAAATGCGTGGCTTCCGAAATACAGGGTGTTTAAATTTACTTTCTAAAATAGTTTTTTTTTAAATATTTCGAACAATATTTGATGTATAACAGTGAAGATTGGTATACAAGGGTTTTTTGGTACGACAAAACGAACCATGGGCATAGTTTTACTGTAGCCGCTAGAGGGCGCTCTCTACTGTACCTGTAGTGTATTAAAATGACAGAAAAATTTTTCTTAGTTCAATTTTTTGCTTTTTGAATAAAAAAACTGATTCTTCGCACTTTTCAACATAAAAAAGCTCTCCTGTGAGTTTTCGTTATAGTTAGCCGTTTTCAAGATATTTCGATTTTTGGGGTTCGATGCATTTTTTATGGGAAAATAATATTTTTTTTTACATTTCCGATTTGGGCATTATAAGTAATTAAGATGATCGTTTAGATTGTGTTTTTAAACACAGCAATAATTCCTAACTCCTAATATAGACTTTATGCATTAATTTTAAAAGTTCTATCGAATATTAAAGTTATGCAACAATAAACTGAAACGCCCTGTATACTATTAGCTGTTTTTTTTTCTTTCTGTGTTCGATTAGTTCTGAGCATTTCCTGTTATTGGGTGTGTACAAGCCTGCTGGAAAATAAACATCTATCTATCTATCGTCCCGAACATCAGCTTCCTAGCTTGACATGTTCAAAAAATAAATAAGGATGAACCTTCCTGAAAAACACTGTATACGAGTATTGTCGGAAAAATAAGTATAAAAAATTCGGTGCGTCGTGTCAAATCGTTGTGGAGGGGGGCCCGGTGGTTCCTTTCTCTATGCAATCCGCTCTATGCTCAGTTCGAGCCGGAGCGCTCTGTGGGTAAGTAGGATTTACGTGTGCTTGTTGAGAGTAACCATTTTTTTACCTGCCGTCGGCACGGTGCTCTCTCTGATCGAGGAACAGCGCATCAACATCAAGTTCCTTGCAAAGCTAGGCAAGAATGGTCGTGAGATTTTTGAGTATTTGGAACAAGTTTTCGGAGACAATTCTCTGAAGGAACCAACTGTCAACAAGTGGTTGAAAAGGTTTCGGGAATGTCGAGAACATGTGAAAGATGACCAACGCTCTGGTCGCCCCTCCACATCGAGCTCTGAGAGAAATGTTGAACGAATTCAGGGCTGTCGATTGACAGTTAGGATGATAGGTGAGGAACTGTCAATCCTCAAAACAATCGTCCGCGAAATTCTAACAGAAAAACTTGAAATGAAAAAATTGAAGGGGTTAGAATAAAAAGGGTGCAAGTTCAACATATTTCGAGATAAGTACGGCTTGGAAAAGATAAGGTATAGATATATTTATTAGAATAAAAAGGACATAAGTGATTTTTAATATAATTGGAGCCATCTATTGCCTAGTAGATAAAGTAGATGAATGAAAGGGCAGTTTCCTTTGGAATAGAAAGGATGCAAATACACTTGTACCCTCGCTACTCCAACCGAAAATTTATTTATTTATAATAGTTTATCGATTATTTCATCGATTTTCGAGCTGTTTTTCATTAAATAAAAATGAAAAGTGAGGAAGTTAGGCCTATTTGCTTATTATTTTTTATTATAGTTATGATTAATACCAAAATAAGCTAACAACAAAAATTTGTGGTTGTTTATTGCTTACTATATTAAATCTGCATAATATTGTCAACTAGTTGAGAGCAATATCGTTTTTTATTATTTTGAATAGTATCCCAGCAAGTTACAAATTATTGTCCTACTTTCAGACCCTTACTACACGGAAGAAGACGAAGAATACGTTCCATCGTCCACTTCCCAATCAGATGCAAACGAATCATGACTCTGATACCGCTGAAGTAGTTTCAATAGATGAGGCGCTTCATATCACTCCAGACAAAACAATACAAATGCTACGACGTCCGTCTGAATGGAAGATCAACCAAATAAAACGCTCTAGAACTGCAGGGAAAGAGTATGTGTCTAACAATAAGGTGCATAAAAATAAGTCACTGTAACCCTATCAGTATACATGTCGATACAAATGCAATATAAATATTGGTGAAGAAAAAAGGCGAGAACTTTTTAACGCCTTCTATGATTTATCGTCGTGTGATCATCATACTACTTTTTTGTCATCATGTATAAAAAAACCAACGTAAATAGAAAAAAAATTGATAGCACCATCGAAAGAAAATTTAGCACAAATATATTTTTACCAGAAAAAAACATTTAATATCTCTACTAAAAGATTTACATCTGTATGTGCTAAAACAAATCACCTTGGTATACGAGCCCCTTCCCACTTCAGTTGGTTTGGTGTAAAACAATCCCATATTTCCTGAAGCTTTTGTCTCATTTCGGTGATTGTACGAGCAGGATGTTGTCGTAGAACCTTTTGCATCTCGTGCCACAAAGTTTCAATAGGTGACAGATCTGGACTGCTAGAAACCCATTTCAAACGTGGTACATTATTTTCTTCCATCCATTTTATATCCTTTTTTGAGGTATGGCACGCTACACCATCTTGCTGAAATCTTGGCCGGATGTCAAACATTCTTCCATCACTGGTAAGAGCGATTCTTCTAAAACTGCCAAATATTTGTTTGTATCCACATTTCCATCAATAAAATGAAGTTTTCCTACTCATTTTGATGACATACTGCCCCAGACCATAATGGATGCTGAAAATTTCACTTTTCTCTTCAGACAAATAACATGGAATGCTTATTTTTTTTTGCGAATAACTCTACTGCGACTGTCACCAACACAAACTTCGAATCGGGCCTCAACACTCCATTGTATTGCACACCATTCTCGAGGTGTCCATTGTCTATGTTCTTTAGCCCATCTAAGCCTATTTTTCTTTTGAAGTGGAGTTAATTGTGGCTTTTTTTTTGGCCTATAAACAAGTTGTGCAACTTTAGGGTTTTTACTTCACTTTCTTTTTTTATGAAAAAACTTACCTCGCATCCCACTTAATTGTAAATAATTGGCACGCCTGTTTTTCACGATTATTCTTCTTAATGCTCTTCGGTCGGCATTAGTGATATTACTTTTTTTCACATATCGTGGCTTAATATTAACTGAACCAGTTACGTTATATCTTCTAACAATATGTCTCACACTGTACCGCGTTAAGTCTAACAAAGTTGCAATTTCTGAGTTAGATTTCCCAGAATTAAATAATTTAATTATCAGTAACCGAATTTTCTCACTAATAACCTTTCCTCTACCCATTTTGAAAACCTTAACTACCCAAAACTATTTTAAACGTATTCTGACAGCTGTGATTAATAAAAACCATTGTCATGGCTTTTATTTTTCACAGCCACCTATGCATTATAGACTTATTTTGCATTGAAATAAAAATAAGCTGATATGCTGTAATTGCAACATGTGTTATTTTTATGCTGCAAATTTGATTAGGGAGTGATAAAGTTGGTGTTTTCTACTATATAAAAAATATATATAAAAAAAAACTAAGATTTCAATAGTTGGGCCAACTGATGTGGGGAGGGGCTCGTAGCTGTGCCAGACCAAAGAAGAGAAGGACAAACTCGCAGGGGGATAGGAAATGAGCAACGAACTTTTGCAATAAGTCACACAAAAAGGTTTCCTAGATACGCAAGCCATTACTCTAGAAAATCAAATTCTCAGACGAAATACTTGAAATCAGATTTGGATATTAACATTATGTATGATTTATACAAAACCATTTGCAAAGACGAGAACAAGATTCCTGTGAAACTCTCTTATTATAGATATATTTTTAATAGCGAATTCAACTTCATCGTCCACACTCAGACACCTGTTCCCGCTGTGACTCCCATCAAAATACTCGTATTAGAAAATATTCGAATGATGATTCTAAAGCCTCACACAGAAAGATTCAGTTAGCTCTTCATCAGTAACGTGCCATAAACCTGAAGAAAAGCGACATCGAGAAATACAGACATTCAGCAGATACAGTAGTGGTGGTGGATTTTCCTTTCACTACATGTACCTTTCCTTATTTGGGCGAAGGTAGACCAGCCCATAATTTGGAAAAGGTATTTTGCAACAAATTAAATGAGGAGTCTCTTAGCATCAGCACAGAAACATAATTTTAGTCCCTCATGGAACCACGGCATGACTTTTATAAGGAATTAAAACATGGCAACAAAGACAGAAAAATATTAATAAACTCAAGCAAACTAATATCAGAGGTGCTGCATCTACATCAAAGCAGGTTACATCTGGTGCTTCTAATAATACCATAAATTCTGAAAGTGAGATGGACATAGCTTTACTTGACTTTGATTCAGACAATAGTTTAATGTTTGTAACAATATTTAATCTGAATAAAAATGTTATTTTAAGTGTTTTGTTTTTCATTTTAATCAAATTGAACTAATGTTTGGGAAAAAAGGATATAAGTTCTCCTTTTTGCAATAAAAAACAAAATTATTTTCCAAAACTCAAGTTTCAACTAAAATTTCAGTTTTTTAAGGTCAAACAACTTTAAGCTCGATTTTCTCTAAACAGTGTTTATGTTACTTATACCCTATTTATTCTAACCCCTTCAATTGTGCGCGAAAATCGTTCCGAAGCTCTTGACTCCAGAACAGAAAGCAAGGAGGGTTACTTGCTGTGAGGATTGGTTGGAAGTAGAGGAAAAGAGGGACTTTCTCAACCTGGTCATCACTGGAGACGAGTCTTGGTTCTACGAATTCGATGTGGAGCTGAAGTTTAAAAGCATGCAGTGGAAGCCAGCAGGGGATCCGAGAACAAAAAAGTCGAAAAAATCAAGGTCCAATGTAAAAACAATGTTGAATGTTTTCTTTGATAGTAAACAGTAGATAGTAAACGGGAATTTCTACGTTGTCTCAGAGCTCCCGCCTTATTCACCCGATTTAGTCCCTTGCGACTTCTTCCTGTTCCCAAAATGCAAAATGGTGCTTCGGGGGTGGCACTTGGGGGATGTGGAATCCGCCAAGGGAGAAACGACACGGCATACGAAGAGCCTCACAATTGAAGACTTTCGGCGATCGTATAAACAGTGGAAACGGCGTTGGCAGAAGTGAATCTTGTCTCAGGGGAATTGTAAGATAAAGTTGTTATTCCACTTTTATACTCGTACACTAGTTACGTCAAGAAAATATAATATGTGCTCCAGGCAAAAACCAAAAGAAAACGCTTTTAGGAAACACTTACCGCATTGACCTCTTGCTCATCATACCAGACGTTGATGTACGGATGCAACAATGCATCATCGACGGATATCCTGCTTTGCGGATCGATGACCAACATCTTGCTGAGCAGGTCTCTCGCCTGACTGGCCTTCAGCCTATTATGGTCGCTGCTATCGGAGGGAAACAATACGTCGGGGAAGAGTTTCTCGAAGGTGAAGCCAGGATAGCGCGGGCGGTTCTCCACGTAATTACGTACGGTCGGTTGCAGACGTACCATGAATTGCTGGGATGGGGTGCCGAGTTGCTCTGGAATTGAAGAAACGGTATAAAAGAAAGTTAAATGAGTGACTTTGACGGTATGTTTGATAGGCAACCATATCTGTACCTCAGAGCCAGACTAGGTCAAGTCCAAATAAGTAGTTTTGAGATAATTGTATTTAAAATATTTTTCTTGCATTGTATTGTATGCGAATTGACATGAGTTAAAAAGTCGTAACGTCCTTATTATTACAGATAGATGGACGCTGCATGTGGCAAATGAAAACTCACAATATTATCATAATCTTAACATATTAAATTCAGTTTTGACAAAAATGGACTTAGTCTGGAACTGGGGTGCAGATATATTCTTATACATATAGTTAGTACGGAGTGCAACCACAGAGTGGGGCTGATGCTGGATTTTCTCGTCGTTCTTTTTGACAGTCCAATGTTCAATGCTTTGATGTTGATGTATTCGTAATTTTGAGTTGAAAGTTTTTATTAGTTTTGTGTCGGTGATACTGATATCTATTGAGCGTTAAACAGAGTTTAAATTTACAAACTTAATCTTTGTAATGGAGGATTATCGAAAGCGGCGATTTAAAAAGTGCGTGGTGCCTGGTTGTATTGATAGAATCAGTAAAAGTCATACATTTCCAAAATATGATGCCGCTCTTTTTAACAAATAGATCGAGCAAGTGCGAAATCCAGTTTTGGACAATAAAAGTCACGAACAAATTCATAATTCATTTGCCTGGAACCAAGAGAGGTCTGAAAAGATTCTAGATTACATCTTCCTGAACTTCAATATTCAAGTAACTAATACCTTTGTTTACATATATATAAACAAGGTACACGCACTGTGTAATCAGTGAATAATCCGAATTAAATGATGTCCTAAAAACTTTCACAATTTTTACGGTTTCCACAATTTTTGGAAAAAAATGTAATGAATTCAATTCTTTTTTTAGGTATGGTTTCGGAAAATGTTCACAGTAGTCCCGAAAGTCATGAAGGCAGTAGAGAAATTGCTAATTGTAAATTTAATTGCTCATTTGTTTTCAAGAAGATTGTTACTTTATACTTTGCATAGGTACCACCACGTGCAAAAAACAGATGGACATCGCATATCTCCTGAACCATCGATGACCTTATAAAGAGATAACAAGGGACTGTCACACTGATAAGAGATCTTTGGCAATGCATGTGTGATAACAGATTAGGAGCTATTCCAGTTTTTTATGCACGAGATGGTACATCGGTAACCGATTATTTTTAGATTACTAACAACTTGCATAAGTATTATTATTTTATGTACTGTATTAAAAAAATACACTTTTTAAAAATAAAATCAGGTTGAGCTATTTTACTTAAAATATCTTGTATATAATTTAAATACATAATTCGAATTTAGCATTACAGTTTTACTTAGCATTACAGATTCCCTTATAGTGGAAAAGATTACGATCAGACAGTTGGCATCTAAGAGGTTGGAGTTTCGTTCAAGAGGATGATGCATTTATGGGGTCCCAGATTAAGATGGCAATATCTAGGATGGATATAGAACACAAATAGTTACACCAGCACACACAAATAAAAAAAGTGGTCTAAACATTTCACCAGACCCACCTAGAGTTATCTATTTCGATGTGCTGAATCCGAATCTGAGGTCCGTTTGACCCGACAGCTAAAAATCTCAAAAATGTACCAATGTAAACGAACAAAAAAATGTCCCGACCCATATCAAATGTATTTCTTATGCATTCCAATAATCTGAATACAAATCTTGAGTTATTTAGCTCGTAGATCTTCCAAATTTCTAGTACATTGTCAAAAATCGCCAGAAATCGGAAGCCATATATCTCTCAACGATTTCTTCTTTCCTTTTGCTGACTTCCCTTCAAATCTTGGAGACTAAAGTCAAGAACAAGAACTATTTCACCAAGACCTAAGTGTAATGGAAAATCTGTATAATGGAAGGTGTAACGTCAACATGCTGGCAGATTTTTCATGATTGATTTTTAACAATTTTTTAACGACTTGAAGGATTTTGCAATGTATTCCAGATTTGCCTCGCCAGAGAGCTAAATTATCTTCAGATTTGGATTCAGTGCACAGAAATGCATAAAATATATACGTGATCTAGTTCGAAACATTCGTTTTCAATCGCGTAACTGCAATTTTTGCGATTTTTATCAATTTCTGGCGATTTTGGACAATTTTTTACAATTTACACGTAATTTGTAGGGTCTACAAGCTAAATCAACTTCATATTTATTAAAAACTCTAACACACAGGGTGTCCCAGAAATAACACCAACTCCTAGACACAACCTACTTCTTAAAAATTGTTCTTTTAAACGTCTCAAAGTTAAATCGGATATTTCGCGTGCTGCTTGATGGATTCGATAACGCAGTTCATCGGCTGATCGAACTGGTTTTCCATGGAACTTGTCTTTTAAACATCCCCAGAAAAAAAAACAGGAGGGTTCAGGTTTGTGGAGCGTAGGGGCCACAACATTGGTCCTAGCCAGCCAATACCCTTTTACTGGTCTAGCATAGTGTGCACAGCAGCCATCATTCTGTAACCACATCCTTCTTCTTTTCTCAAGAGGCACGTCTTCCAAAAGAATGGGTAGATGATGTAGCAAAAATTTAAGATTCTAAGATCATTTGTCGATTCAGTCTCGTACATTTTTTTCACAGTAATTAGTCAAACTTTAGTAAGGGTTTTCAAATTGAAACAAAATATAACAGTTTATTTTTTTTTAGCATACTGTGCTAGTTTTCAATGAAATGAATACCCAGTTGTCTCAACCAGCTATTAAAGGTAGCCCAGGAAACAAATGAGTTAGAAGTTCTTTATTGCTATAACAGACAAAAATTGAGCAAAAAAGCTTAAAAGTGGCAATATCTCGAAAAATAGAAAACTTTTATTAAACTCATGTTCCTCCCATGTCACTCTGGCGTGTTACTGCTCGGACACCCTGTATATATTTTCCGCATTGCTAATCTACGATTTAAAATTAATGTATTATACTATATTTATATTATATACATTTTTTTAGTGCTAACGATTTATTGTAACTACTATATTATACGAGTATATGTGTGAGAATGATATCCACACACAAGGATATTTTCCTTTTGTGGCATATCAATTTATTCACAATTTATAATTGATGTGAATAAATATTATTATTGTATTAGTATTCAACGCATCAAAATACATACGAGATACATTTATTCTTAGTCTAGAATAATTTTTCGTTTGCATAAGTACAATTAAACCTACTGATCTACTGATCTAGAAAAAATCTATTAAAAAAATAACTCACCAATGATTTTGTTCCACTGATCGATATGATCGGTGCCAGGGAACAGCACCCCACCCCTGATCATCTCGCCCATGATGCAGCCGACGCTCCAGATGTCCACGTTCTCTGTGTACCCCATGCCCAGGATGACCTCCGGTGCCCGATAGTACCTTGTGACGACGTACGGCGTCATCATGAAGGTAGTACCGGCCGTCCTGGCCAAGCCGAAGTCGAGGATCTTCAAAGTGCAGTCGGATTTCACCACTATATTGCTCGGTTTTAAGTCCTGCAACATAACAAGAATGATTAACGTCTTAACCAGCGACGGAAACAAAGCTGAAAATCATAGTTGCGTTCGTCTCACGGACAATCTCAGATACGCTCACCTCACTTCAGTTTGCTTAGTTTATTGCACGATTTTTTAACCTAAACTCAGTTTAAATGCAACTGCATTATCAACAGAACAACCTCAGCTGAATGACATTTGTATTTTTTGTTTGTTGGAGATTTATTTAGCATTAATGCTTCAAAGTCAATTTTGTATAATTATTCGCTTACACATTTTTCTTTAATCCATTTTCTGTAATTTTACATTCTTGTCTATTAAAATTAGATCACTATCATAATGTGATTTTTTAGTTTCCCCTTAAGCATTTTTAAATTTGAACACTGTATATCATTATTCAATTTATTAAATTCAAATACTCCCTTTTGAAATATAGATTTGCTATGCCACTATTACAATTTTGCACATGAAAATCTATACTGCCTCTAGTTTCGCAGTTATGATAATGATTATTTAATTTTGTGAAGTTTTCTAAGTGAAGTGGTAATAAATGATCTTTTAATTTGAATATGAAAACGAGAACTAAATAACATATGAAAATTTCCACTTTCAACCACTGTAGTTCTAACATAGACTTAAACCTAGCATATTTGTGTTTTTATTTAAAATGATTCTCATAGTTTTATTTCGCAGAATTTGTAATTTTGAAAATATGTTCTCATTTGCTGTAAACAAGATGGTTGAACCATATAAAAAATGGGGAAGAATTATAGTGTTATACACAATTTTTTGGAATACATACTAAGATTATGAGAAACTCCATATAAGTAATTCATCTGTTTTGATATTTTTGAAATAATGTATTCATAAAGCTCGTGAATTTAAATGACTCGACTAATTCAATTTTTTCATCAGTCATGAGCCTAATTGTATTGTTACCCAAACGCTGACATACATTTTATTTGATTAGTATTTAATTTAAGTTTATTAACATTTGACCAATTCATGTTTTTTTTTAATATCATTATTTAACAGTTCTAAGGCAGTGTTTAAATGCTTATGTCCTATATATATTAATGTATCGTCCGCAAATATTTTAATTTTTCAGTGTTCTAAAATGTCAGAGATATCATTTATATAAATAATAAATAGCCACAGCCCTAATTTACGCCCCTGTGGCACCCCTACTCATATATATTTTGAACGCTTCACATAATATTTCCAACTTTAGTTTTTTTACTTCTATTTACTAAATAATTTTGCAAAATGTTTGATACTGACCCTTTAAAACCATAGTGATGCAATTTCATTAACAATTTTTCCCTATCAATAGTCTCAAATGCCCTTTTGAAGTCTAAAAATAGTGTTACAATACATTCCTTCTCATCTATACTTCTTTTCCAGTCTTCCACCACCATTTGTATTGCTTTTCTGTAGAATTTGTATTTCTAAATTCAGCTTGATTTTTTGTCAAATATGTTCTTCGATGATTTGTTCTTATATTATCCCTTCGCACTCTTGACATCAATGTTGAACTTTTGGCACAGGAGTAATGGTGGAACACTTTAATTTTTTTAGGAATTCACCATGTACTAAACAATGATTTACCAATAATAATAATTTATTAGATTTCACTCCTCAGATCTTAGATTGTTGACGTTAATTGTCCTAAATTGATTCATTGATGAAATATGATATACTTGTAATGAACAACACTTGCAGATTTTAGGTTTATTTTGATTATGTGTAAAATTCATCGAGTTCAAATTGTGATTGCAGACCTTGGCAGTGGATACAAAACGCTCAATTGTAATACTCTACAGTATAATTAAAAATAATACGGGATGGTTTATATTGAAGAGAGCCAGGCATTCACTGATTTGAAGGCCTTATATCTATTTGGACTGTCTCACTTAATTTGCTAAAAGTAGATCGACTCAATACTTCTCACGCATTGAGATAAATCTATTTGATATGTTAGATAGATACGCAAAAATTCTAAGCGTTATTAGTGATGAGCTGATTATGAAAACTGCCTGATTTAAAACACTTTTGAACTCCCAGTGTTTTTGACCAGAAGGTTTAAAAAAACGTCTAAAAAGAAGTCCATTCATCGTTGGTTGCCAAAGCGGTCTGTAGGACCTTAGCTCCTGTGTCGTAGTGTCAGTTTGTTAAGGAAAAAAGGCAAGAAAAAGAGAAACGGAAGAGAGAGAGAGCAAAGAGGAAGAAGATAATATTTTAGGACAGGATAGTTAAAATTACTTCGGTTGGCAAGACTAGATACGTTTTATTGATTTTTGTAACATCATGAAATAATCAGAATGCTTGAAAACATGTTCCAAAATAAAATTTTGAATTTTTAGGAACAATACTTTCAAAAATGTTTGTTCATTCCATCCAATAATGAACGGAATATAAAAACCAACTCCGTCATCATTCTACCGTTTTCCCAAAAAGTAGAGCACATTTACCTAGGTATTTTTAAATGACTTCACATCATATGTCTCTCTAAATTGTAGCAAAATATATAGACCGATAAGAAAAATAACGTAATCTCCTTCTAGGAAAATCTAATTTAATGTACTGAACAGCAAAAGCGAGCTCCCCTAACAAGGACCTGATATCGCATGCGATTCCAGAAGTGCCATATGATAGTCGATTTCGGGAAGCCATTAATGCCGAGCTCTACTCAGACGTGCTTACTAAAGCTGTTTAACTTTATCAACATCCATTATCGGGAACGACGATATGCCATTATACTAGGAGGACTCGAAAATGATTAGTAAAGCTGATTTTGTATCAGGAGAACATGATCCTGCAAATGACGAGCAAGCCCTGTCAATCTCGTTACATATCGAATGATTTCAGTTGCAACGACAAACGTTTTGTTGTTAATCTGACTGAGGTGTATCCGGTTAAAAATTGACAGCAATGTCGGTACCGGTAGGACAGGGAAAATTTATAGATCGCAACACTCTCATATGGGTCGGGCCAGGGCTATTTATCTAATACTAGCAAATTTCCCCAAAATAATTGTAAAGTCTGATTTTATTGGTGCAAGTTGTGCAAGGGGGTACTCAAAACATGGACGCATAAAATGGGTACACCAATTTTTGTAGGAAAACTTTTTGCATAAAAATAACATTTATCTTCCGGAATGGTTTGCGATTCATATCGGCAAGGTAAACTAGAGTATTTTGCTATAAAATGCCCTTTGAACTAACCCTGTATATTGCTCAATAAACTAGTAGTGATGGCCGGAAAACGGGAGTTTTGGGATAAACAATTAGAAATTTTGTTGTGGTTATTTAGAAGTACGAATTTGAAGAATTTCAAATATCTGCGAGAAACCATCGTCGCATTACCAAGTACAAAACCTTTAGTTTGCCTCGGTTTTCGGCCATAACTTTTTTGCAATTAGTCGGATCTTTTCACGTGTGGTCTCATGTTGTAGGCCTCAGAAATACCTAAAAATCTTATGTGTAGAGTTTTTTCGTTGCTGCCAACACTTTCGATTGAATCCCATAAGACACGTTTTCTCATTCTTTGTTGTCGAATAAAAAGTTTTCCCACAGAAATTGGTGTACCCATTTTATGTGTCCATGTTTTGAATACCCCCTTGAACAACTTGCACCAATAAAACCAGACTTAACAATTATTTCGCAAACCAGAGGTATTTTCGTCTAATACGATTAGACTAAATCACTACTTGGATTTTTTTTTCAGACACTAATTACTTTTCCCTCAAAAAATTCCAAGTTCCAAGTAAAACAATTCAAATACCTTGTAAGTATTTGAAGTGCTTATATATGTAAGTATTACAAATACTAGAAATATATTTCAATTACTTTACTAGCATCTAAAGTAAGTAGAGCAGTAATTAAAAGACTTGACGAATAATTGAATTACCTAAATAGTAATAGAAAGTAAAATTATTCTAGTCTTTATTGATTTCTAGTAAACGATATTAGAAATTTATTTTTGCAGCAGTCTTCTACCGTTTGATTCCAATACAACTAGCTGCCCAAAATGTTTGTGAGAGTGGTGCATTCACTACTTCAGCGGCGCCGAAGAGTCTCTCCACAGGAAAGACATAATAGACAGGCATAATAATACTCCAAGAACGGCCAATAGGCTACTTGACCCATATATAATCTCATAGAATAAATGAGTAATTCTTACACTATTTGGCTTAGGAAAAGGAAATACATATATCGATATATAGGTCCAATTTAAAGAAAAATATTTTTTATTTTCAATACGAAATGGTGAAAACGCTATCGACCATAATGTGACGTCATACAAATCGTAAATAAAGACCCGTCATTCGTACGTCACTCGTTTACTAGAGTTGATCCTTTACATATTTCTAAAAACCGTCGAAAAAAACGTAAACGTAAAATGTTATCGTTCTATCGTTTTATTTAAAAAAACAATCATTGACGTTAAATTCGTAAAAGCAGAAAGGCAAATTTGGCGAAAATTAACACATTGATGGTTGGTTTTTTTGCCTTCAACCCAGATTTCTGCTCTGCCGAGCTGAGGAACATCAAGACTTCTATGTAAGTAGTATACTTTACTGAAGTACAGCAGACGCTCGATAACGTAAACACGGGATAATGAAAACTTGCGCTAATGTAAACACAAACTTCGTTCTATAGGATCAAACGGAACGCGCGATAACGTAAACAATGTGTACGCTCGATAACGTAAACAACTCTCGGCGCACGGAAACAGCGCGACGGTAAAATGCTGAAGCCTCGATGATTTATGTCGGGCGTCGGGGAGTCCCCGATTTATGATACGTTAGGATACGTTTACACGTACGTATGTATTTCATTTTTGAACTTAAGTGAATACATTGCACGCGTTAATATATTTTACGACTATGGCATCCACATCCTATAAAAGAAAGTGTTTAAAGTTGAGTGAGAAAGTGAAAATCATAGACGAAGTAGCACTAGGTGCGGGAGTGACACAGTTAGCAAAAAAATATGGAG